TTCAGAAAATGTCTAATTACTTGAAGACACATGTTATAACGACTTTTTGTGAATTTATTTTGCAGTTTAATGGATTACACATGGACATGATGAGGTGGGATAGCTCGTTCTGGTAATTATTTCACTTACTTTGTTGTGTACTTTGCCTAAATGCTGACAAGGCTCCTCCACATGTATTTCTTTAAGAAAAATCTGCAGAAATACTTAAAAATTATATATGCATAGTATTTCCTTATTTGATGGCATAAACTTGATGTTAGCAGGCAGATGGAATATCAACTTTGCATTATTGAAAAATGTTGACTAACATAATTATTTACAGTTCAAATCATTATTTTGTCATTTTAAGCATATTTAATGGTTAATTATTGTGTTTACACTGATAACAATGTCTACATCTGTATAATTCTTATGTTCTTTTTCAGATAATATCTACTTTCGGGAATTTCATGGATTTGGGTGATAAAGAAAAAGATACCTGCACTGTTGTCGATTTTGTATTACATGTTAATTCATTAATAAATGTATTCCTTGTTATTCGTTTGTTTATTCTACTTGATAAGACCGAATATTAGCCCTTGCGTAATCTGTGAGGTGTAGAGTATGTGAGGCTATCTTTGAAATACTAAGTAGGAACAGATATTCGGAGAAGCCTATTGGTTAAAGATTATGTTGTAGTCAAATAAAGTAAATATGTCTGAAGTGTAGAGGAGGTATTGCGATTATAAAGCGTTTCGAGTTATCTATCGTCTTAGCAGAATACATATACTGATTCGCGATTCATAGTCACAAAGTGAGAGTAAATCTACCTGAGATAGTTTGCTTGTGATTTCTGCATGCCGCAGTATACCATAAGGAGAGACTATACCTTTGCTGTTAGATGTATGACTCAGTGCAACTACGGTTATCGTAATAATTAAAAACAGAATGCCTAGGGTTCTCAGCCAAAGAACACGATACGTTGCTATCTGCTCATATAATCACGTAAACAAAAGTTTTCCAGACGCCGCATTTACTCCTAACAGTTTACCCTCAACTTCTAACTTAGCACGTGCTACTTATGTTACTGGAACACAATCGCATTACAACAGAAGGAAGACAGATTCATTGAAAAATTGTTTATTAAACAAAAATCAGATTTCAAATGTACAGATAATTCAGATGAGTAGTCCTCTGTTACCGTCAGTAAGTTCCATCTGCGTACACGGTACATATATGTTTTTCCATAAGTCTGAAAAGGTTTAAGAAAAGCATAATTAACTTGGGTATTGCATGTATGATCTGAATAAAAAATTTTTCCTGATAAGCATTTACAAGTGATCACTTTACAAACAATATATATATATATAAGTAGCCCAATAGTTTTCACTAAACTTAAGGGACTTCGCAACTTATCGTTTGTCGATATCTAGTAGGTCCATCGAAGCATCATGAAATGATAAAATTATTTAACGACAAGTTATGCAGTAGTTTCCAAAGCTTGTACAAATATTTTAGCAAAAATGACAACAACTTTATGACAAATAATAGGTCTTGACAGCAATAATAATAACGTTCATGTTCATAGTGACTATAAAAACAATGACAGATATTATTATCGCAACGAATTCATCATTAACTTAGATAGACAACTAACAATAATACAATCATATCAAATAAATGTATCACTTAATCTTAAGAAGCATGTGTTTACTTACTTTCACTGTATTCTCTCAATACTGATGTGCTCAACTAGCTTATTCCAACTGAATTTAAGATTAATTCTGAAAGTGAGTGGAGATCCAGTTTATGTCAAATAAAAACATGTAACTTACATGTATTACACTGCTTACTGAGACATCTGGTACCTGCTTTCCGATCTTCGTGACAAGGACACAGTTCATCTAGGTTTACCTACATATACAAAAGTATACGTATATGCTGCATCAACCATGCCGTTTTTATCATGATTAGCCAGACCACTGTGTATATTATACTTATTTAAGGATCTCTGAAAATAATGGTCAAGCGATAATTGAAGTTGCGTGAAGTTATTACCTCTTCAAGACATTGTTTGCATTCTTGACACTCCTGAGAAGTCCTTAGATCGTAATTTGGCATGAATTTGTTGAATTCAGCAAATAAATCTACTGCTATATCATTTCTTTCCTGAGCTGTAATAATTTGTGTTGTCAGTTATCTCTCCAATTTGATAAAACGCTCACGGAAATTCAGGACTTAACCAAGCAGCAAAATGATGTTTGAAATTACCTCAACTCGAATGACAAACTGGCCAATCACGAGCGAGCGAATCGCTTGTTTATCTCATTCGCGGTCACTCAAAATTACGTCCGTCGACAGGCTGTCACTTTACAAAGCTATTGTTGCAATTCGAGGAGGTTAGCGTTTTCCAGTGTTTTCTGGATTTGAGTTGCGCAGGAAATAGCGAATTGGTGACTCTAAAGAATAGCGGCCCAAACCGAAACGACCTTTCAACGCAAAAATGACCTTGACAGGGACAACTTTGGCCAATGAGAAGGCTCAAAAAGAAAGGCGCATAATTGTAAAAAACGGTTTATATAAAAGGAATGCAATCATAATAAACATTTACAAAGAATGGCGTTCGCGTATATGTTGCAATAAACCTCCCAGTTTCTCATGGGAGTCTTCATAGTCATACGAAGCTAGTTTCGGTACATAAATTCATCCAGGTAACTGTAAATCATGGGATTTCTCGATCCATTAACCGCTCTTATACGTCTTTTTAGACGACTCTAAAAACTTTCAATGGAACTGGTGTGGGTTCCATCCAAAGGATTCCGGAAACCGTCCGTATGATTAACAACATGATGAATGTACCCATGATTCGATAATTGACGGTATCCGCTCCATTCATCTGTTTGAATAGTCGTCCCCGGCAACACCAAACGCTTATTAATAGGTACTAATACTGCTGCACTGCGATTGGGAATCGCTTCTATATACCCTTTGCTCAGTATTGTGTCGTAGATACCCAGTATCCACTACTGGTTTGCTTGCAATCTCCCGCGGTTGTATTTCCTTTTTATAAGTACAGTCTCATCAATATGGACTATGCTGCCGACTCCCCCGAGAACTTGAGTCAGGGTGTTCATTTTCCAGGAGGAAACTTCTCTGCAGTAGTTGTACCATTGCACTGCTGACACCTCTGAATTTAATGTTTCATAAGCTGTAGCTGTGACTGCTCTTTTCAGGACCCAGAAGTTACAGATCATTAAAATTTTCTTCAAAGGTAGTTTAGACCTTGAGAGAAAAGTTCCTAAGGCATCTGTAAACTAAAAAACAACGACAAACCTTCTCGAACCGATTTCCTGCTTCGGCACTCAATACATCTGTATACAAAGCCATCAATGGCCTCTGTGTATTTTTGTATATGCATAACTCCTCCGCATTGGCAAATTTTCGACAAAGCTATCAGTCCGTTGTCCAAACAGTAATCGAAGACATCCATGATTGCTTCCGAAAATGATAGTCAGCGGATTCCTTGCTCAAGGACACTTTTTGTTCGAAGGTCGTTTCGGTTTGGGCCGCTATTCTTTAGAGTCACCAGCGAATTTGTTTGTGTGGTGGTATCATGACTTTAAAAAGCTATACCAAATCAACTGATGGGTTTGTTCATCGTTGTGCTATGTGTTTGAAGCCTACTAACGCTAGAGAGAGTAAGCTGATAATTTTAATATTTCGTAGGAACTTTTTTCGCTAGGTCGCTTCTCTCCCTAAGGATAGCAGATAGAAAAGCAACTACTCTTATACCTAATGTTACCAGAATTGTTAAGCGGGGGTCAATTATACACACGGAAGGGCTACAATTCACTGTCATCTCTGGGATATATTCATCATAGAGACAACCATTCAATTTATTTTGTGGATCCCGTTACGAGGACACATACAAATTCTATTGAAGGATTTTGGGGCAGGTTGAAAAATAGGATGAGGGCTATAAATGGATCTCAAAAGGATCTCATTTATGGTCATTTGGATGAATATATGTACAGGATATGGTGTAACTTCTCCATTGGCAGTCCCATGCTAAACTGGGAGATGTTTCTCTCACATGTTCGAGAAAGATATCCCATGTAACTTTTTTTATTATCTATTTTATGCTTTTTTTCTATAAATATACATTTCCATTCATCATATATGCCTCTTTAATGTGACTGGTCCGTTCGAGGTCGTTTGCTGATTGGTTGTTAGTGATGTCTAAAGTTTAACTTTGCCAAGAAGGGACAGAGCGTCTTGGATGCTAACAGGAAAGTAAGTCATGGTGACTTGTCTGTTAATTGTAACGATGTGTCTGATGTTAAGCATGACATGGTTGATGTTACTGTTTCGCCGTTCAGGGATAATAGGAACATCAAACCCCCTAAATTAGAACCACGGTGTTTCGATGGAAAACCAGCTGATTATTTACAATTTGTAAAGGAGTTTGCGATTATGCTGAGTAGTTTTCTATTAAGTGATGAATTGAAGTTAATGTATTTGATGAGGTATTACACTGGAGTTGCTGCAAGAGCTATACAGTGTTGTAAGTTTATGAAGCCAAAAGAGGGCTACTACGAGGCTATGAGCATATTACGTCAAAGGTTTGGAAGACCTTCGATGATTGTAGGGAAATTATTCGAGGCTGTTAAGGGTAATGGTGGTCAATTACAGGATGACTCCCAGGCACTCACTGAGTTTTTGGATAACTTGCTGATTTACAAGAATGCATTGATTTCGATGAATTGCATGAGTGACCTCAACTCGAGTTTTATACTAGAAGTATTAGCAAGACGCCTACCTACTCGACTGCAAAGGAAGTGGGTGAAGATAAGCTCCCGTATGGAGGATGAGGGTATCGAGCCACAATTTGATGATATCCTGAAACTAGTAAAAGATAGCATCAGTCTATCTATGAGCAAGTTCGCCAGTATATTGAATCTCACCCCTAGAATAGAGCAGTCTGAGGGTAAAACGCAATCATTGATGACGAGTAGGCCTCAGAGAGGTGGATATCGAGAAGGCTCCATGATGTCTAGTAATGCATATAGACCTAGTGAGTGTAACAGGTTTCGTAGTACATCCTCAACAGATAAGTTACAAGATGCAAGACAAACACGGTTGTGTTGTACACGTTTGCAAGAAGTGCATACAAAGGTGAACTGTGAATCAGTGAGCAAGTTCAGTGATAAGCTAAATGTAAACTCCAGGCCTGACTCCGAATTGTGTGACGATAACGGTGCGGTGAAGAAGTCTGTAGTTGCAACTGGTAAGCCATTGTTGAATAGAGTGTCACAGAATGGAGTTATTGCTTCAGAGTCCAGTTCTGACTCCACAGGTTTACAAGGTATTACTAGTCAGAGTGAAGTTATAAAACCTTTTAGGATTTGCGAGGAGGAACCAAAATTGTCTACTTCTGTTATTAAAGAGTTTGAAAATGATGAAGTTGATGGTAAAGTGAATATTTGTGATAATGATCATGATAGTGCAGATTTGTCTTTGGTTGATCATGATGAGATGAGGGATATGCCTACTACTGCTAAGTTGAACAAAGTTTCTGTACAACTTGAACGTGAAGTAGAAATAAATGCAGATGCAGTTGCAGAAGGCATGCATACTTGTCAAACCGTCAGTGTAATTGATCAGCGTGTAGCCCACCTAACATCAGATGCTAGTGCTAAACCTGAGCTGATAGTAAAAGACAGCAGTGGTGGTGGTCTTGCATGTAGACAAATTTCTGAAAGCCGAGCAACAACAGCTTTTGATCCACCGCTAACTTCATCAACTGATATCAATCAGTCGTCGTTGGTGCTGTCATCCACAATGAAACAGACACCCATCAACTCAAGTATCTTGTGCAATGACTATGCTAGTATCAGTTCGTTTGAAAGGACGAATATCAATGGTCAGTTTATTGAGGATAAGCCAAGTGTAAACGAGAGAGTAATTGTTAAATTGACTTGCACGAATAAAGGCATTTCTAGTTTTAAGTTACTATTTGAATGCTATTATCTTTGGTGTAAATTACTCTGTACCTACGCTTGGTTGACCAGATACTTCGTGTGTTTGTTCGTCATCTATATTCTACGATACAACGACACGAGCGTGTTACAGTTCAGATTTGAGGATATAGCTCATAGAAGGAAGTTTGCAAATGAACTCTGCGACGATTTTCCAACCTAGAGCGTCAACCTGAGAAGGGTTGTAGGCGTACTGCTGTAAGTCCTACAATTCTTCAAAGGGTAGCGCATCAATGAGCAGTGCAATGTGCTTGGTGTGTGATTTTGTACATATGTTCATATTGTATATACTGAATTGATATCATCTGTCATCTATCTGTTGGTAATTCTGTTTGTGTCCGGACGACTTCCACTTGTATCATCAACCTGAGAAGGAATGTAGGCGTACTGTTGTAAGTCCTACAGTTCTTCAAGGGTAGTTTGTCATGCCGGAATCCACAACATTTGATGTGTTGATTGTACATATGTATGTGTTAAATAATTGTGTGAGTTCCAATTATTGTAATTGTTGGTTAATCTTGTTTGTGTCCGGACATTCCACAACTTACAATCGTCAACCTGTGAAGGCTTGTAGGCCTACAGGTGTTAGCCCTGCGATTCTTCAAAGGAATTCCATCAAGACATGAACTGCGAGTTTGTGTGTACTGTTTGTATATATGTGTGGTGTGTCATATAAATTGGTGTTTTTTGGATTCATTGTGTTTACTTGTTGTCTTCATATCTTGTTGTTATTGCATAATTTTGTTAAATTGTTCGTCGTGATTACTTCTGAAGTTGTGTCCACTCTTCTACATCCATGAATGAATTGATTGATGTTAAAGACAGCAGATGGGTCGTATACGCCGGGGAGGCTATTGCTGAGAATGAAATGCACACGGAGATAGTTGTTAGCTGTGATCCCACACGCCGGGGAGAAAGAGTGTAAACGACTGAGGCTCGCATGCGTCACCGCTACTAGAACTGAGGCAGAATGAGTGACAAGCGATTGCAGTGGTAATTGGTAGTGAGTAGATAAGAGGATGTGCGTAGAGTATCATGAGTTGGTGCTATGGTCACGTTGCATTCTGCAAGAGTCATTCTAGCAAGTGGCGATTGTGTTGCAAGATGTCAAGAGAATACCTTGTACTGGAGGCGTAGGTCGTCATCTATGTGTGAGATTGTGCTGTGGATATGCTTGTGGTGTGTTGGCTTTTCTGTTTGTTTTCCACCTCAGCTCTGTCCGTGTGACCCAGGTTCTTGCAATGGCATCCAAGTCAACGTGTATTGGTCGTGATGGAAAAAAGGGATGGATCCCTATTTTGCCGGGGAGTGTCAATGCAGTTGAAGATTAAACGATCGATTCATGGTTGCTTGCTCAAAACCAACTTCCCTATATTTTCGCGGAGACATCGATACACCAGTCATCGTCTCATCGATCGCTGTTCAGAAAGAATTCAGGCCAAAACTGTCAAAAGTAATATTGTTATTTATTATTGTATTATTTATTCATAGACCTTAGTTAAAACTTAATTTTAAAGTTGGCTATATATTGGTGTTACAATAAAGAATTCTCGAGTAGCCAATCGGTGTTTTGGTTTTGCGTCCGTTATTACTAAGCGTTTCTGAGAAACTTCAAGGAACAGCGTGAGTCCCAGCGTAGCAAGAGCTGGGCATTGACGGTTTAGGAGACGTGGCTGACAAGATATGCTATACTTAATTTATGTACCTACAATCAGTTTTTCATAATAAGCATTACGTCGAGCCTCAACGGTTTTTTCTTCCCTACAATAACACTTTCCCTGGAGTTTCTGTCAATTTTACGAGACTACGACCAAGTAAAATGTAACTTACAGTTTGCAGAAGCGCCACTGCTATTGTAAGAATAATACAATCCCTCGAAATAAACTGTATACTTTTTCTTATTGCGTTGAGAAGAACTGCGACAATCAAGTGGGTGGATTCTACTGTTCAAGGCATCACCAGCTATTCAAAACTTGAAGGAAATTATTTATATCGCAGTTGTCACAAGTGATAAAAGTGTCCTCAACGTATCTAGCTGCCCACCAGGCACCAAATTTACAACTGAAGTAGAAACCAGACGGACAATCTCCTCTCTGGTTGTTCGGCTAATAAAGAAGACTGAAGGGAGTTTGAACAGATCAGTATATGGAAAGCCTACGCGAAACCTTCAGTTGATAAATTTTACAGATGAGTACCCATCAATCGCGGGCGGAATCTGATAATACCTCTTGGTATCAGGATCCGAAGCCCTAAATCAGTAGAAGAAGAGATTACTCTTTCTAGGAAGACACCGCTTGAGAATGGCTATCTTTCAAGCTTGATGGATAAACACATAAAGCCCAAAATAAAAAAACATTCCATCTCTTTGTCGAAGAAGATGCCATACATGAATGTGCCATGCAAAGGTGACTTTCTTGCCAACATCCTAAAGAGGAGAATACCTAACACCCTGAAAAGAAAATTTGCAGCTGCCACATTACGATTGGCATTCTCAGCCGCAATCTGCTGGCCAACAACTCTAAAGATAAACTATCGCATCTGACCGCTTCTTAGTGTAACAACCAATTTACTTGTTCATGTAGAGCGAGATATGTAGATCGGTCGATGCGTGTTTTATCTTAAATGGAGTTAAAGGACATTATACTGCAGGCTGTCAGTAAAATCAGTGGAAGCTTCATTTCCCAGTTACCGCCCTTCGGGGCCAGCCACTCCTTCAGTGTACGGTTGTTTCTCTCCGTTAGGCCATTCGTTTGTGGATGGTATGGGGTCGTTCTGATCCTCTTGATGCCCAGCTGTTGCAAACGGGAAGTAAACTCTTCACTCTCGAAACAGGGACCTTGGTCTGTCAGTATTGTCTTCGGTACGCCGTGGTCTGCAACAATGTGTCTAACTACTGCATCTGTCACGGTTCTTGCACGTTGGTCTGGGATTGCTACGGCGTCTACCCATCGTGTCGCGTGTTCCGTCATCACCAAGAGGTACTGATTACCATTGGATGTCTGAGGAAATGGACCCATGACATCTACGGACCACAAGTCACCTATCGCGGTAACTGGAATCGACTGAAGTGGTGGTCGTATCACCGGTCACCTTTCATCAGCTGGCACCGTGGACATCCAAGTACGTATCTTGCTACGTCTTCTCTCATACCTGGCCAGTACATACTTTGTCTTAGGAGGTCGGTCGTTCTGGCCACGCCTGTATGCGCTAGCTGGTGACATTCTTCTATCATGTCGTGGCGCGACGATTGAGGTATGACAGCCAGCCAGCTTCCGTCGTTCTCTCGCCAGGTCAGAGTCCCGTAGGCATTCACTCTGAGTCGATCCCTCTGTCTGAGTAGTGTGGTTAGCTCCTTACTCGCCGTAGTTTGATCCACTTCTATTCCGTTGGTGATCACCTGTATTACTGTATTCAGCGTATCGTCCAACCTCTGCCTACGTGCAAGTCTTAGTGGGTCTTGTTCTACTGCATGCACTCCGTAAGCGACCTCGGGCAACTCAGACTCATCTTCTGGTCTCGATAACAAATCTGCCAAGACATTTTCACTTCCAGGAACGTGTGAGATCGTAAAATCGTACTCCTGAAGACGCGTGACAACTTCCCCCGTGGGTCTCTCGCTGTCTTCAAAAATTGTAGCGGCTTATGATCAGTTTCGATGTGGAACCGCCGGCCGAGTAAATAAGGTCTCCATTTGTCGACTGCCCATACCATTGCTAAACATTCTTTCTCTATCGTTGAATACTTTCTCTGTGTGAGTGTCAAAACCCTACTGGCATACTCAACGATTCCCTCGTCCTGTCTTAGGACCGCACCTATAGCGTAGTCACTGGCATCTGTGCACACTGTGAACTGTCTTCCTGGCACAGGTAGTTTTAGCGTCATTTGTTGGTGGTCGAGCAGCTGTTTAATTCTGTCGAATGTCCTCTGCGATTCTTCCGACCAAACAAACTTTGGCTCACCTAGTAGCCTGTATAGAGGGGCTGCTATCTCATTGAAGTTCTTCACGAAGCGACTATAAAACGCTGCTCTACCCAAGAATTGTCTCAGTTTTCTCTTTGAATTCGGGGCTGGAATCGTTTTAATCGTCAAAATTTTCTCCGGCAGTGGTTTAATCTCACCATTTCCCACTTTATGTCCCAACAGAGTAACATTCTTTTTGGCTATCTGGGACTTGGTTTTGTTGACGCGTAGTCCAAACTCTTCGATGCGTCGCAGCACGGCTTCTACATGGTTGACGTGATCGTTTTCGTTTTGACTGTATATGACGAGATCATCACCATAAACCTCCACGTTTTTCAAGTTCCTAAGTAATAGCTTCATCAGTCGTCTGAACGTAAACGGTGCACCTGCTAGTCCAAACGGCATGCGTTTAAATCGATATTGTGTCTGACCCACGATGAAAGCCGTCTTATCTCTATCACCTTGTTTTATCGGTATCTGCCAGTATCCTGAGCGAAGATCGAGAACCGAAAACACATTCGCACCTTGTAGGCGATCTAAAGTTTCTACCACTGTTGGCATGGCACACGGTCTTAACTCTGTCATACTGTTTAACTGTCGAAAATCAACACAGAATCTATACTTCCCATTCGCTTTTTTTACTAACAGCACTGGAGAGTTGTACGGGCTATCAGCTTCCTCAATAATATCATCTTTTAACATCTCTTGCACTTGTCGCTCCACTTCGCCTTCCAGATGACATGGAACTCTTCGCGTTAAAAATGACCTTACTTTCGGATCACTTAACGGAATTTCATGATTCACCTTATCGCAATAACCGTATGGGTCCCCATCTCCAGTGAACAGATGATCGTATTTATTAATTAACTCTGTCACATTGTGTACCGTCGACAGCTTAATCGCTGCTATCTCGCTGGTCTCATACATGTTGATATGCCCGTATTTCGTGACCACCACGTTCGCTTGCGTGTCGATTATTGCACCAATCTCACGCAGAAAATCCGCTCCTAATATCGTTCGCTGTAGTTCGGGTACAACAATGAAAGGAAACGTCACCTCGCAGCCACCAACAACGACCGTACAGTTCGATCTACCCGTGATACGCAACACATACCCGCCTACTGTTTGTACTGTCAATGAACACGGACTAACACTCTTACATAAATTCTTATCTATTAACGACACGGCCGCCCCTGTATCTATCAAACATACTACTTCTCGATCATTCACTCGCAACTTCGAATACAGAGCCCTTTCTCAATAGCCCCCACTAAATCTAGGTTCATACGAAAGAAAGAACAAGCATTATACCGTCTGAAATTTTTTTTTTCGCCTTTCTGGGCAGTATCTTCTCCAGTGTCCCGGCTTACCGCATTCAAAACACCGGTCTTTTCTATCAGCCAACTTTAACGCCGCCACTTCCCGCTGCAATGCTTCAATTTTCTGCTCATATTCGTTTGGTTTTGGTTGGTCTATAGCGGCTACCGTTGTGCTCAGCAGCTGTCTGGTCACCTTCGCCAGCTCACTAATATCCATCGGCTGCGTTGCGTTAACCAGTTGTAATCGCTGAGAAATGTGGTCTGGGACACTCTCGATGAATTGGGAAGACAGTAACTGCGCTTCTGATTCTTCATCTAAAGTGGGAAGCGCGCGTCGAAGTAGATTAGTCAGTTTCACCGCCAACACTAGCGGGTCTCCATCAGGTCCAAGCTTCATTGACCGGAACTGCTGCATTGCTAGCTGTCTGTCTGTTTCGCTGTCAAACTCGGACACTAGTCGTTCAACCAATTTCTTCCAAGACGCTGTGCCATTTGACCTGTCTACGCTGTCATATGCAGCCTTCGCTCGGCCTCTCAACAGCGTCCCCAGGACAACTGCCTTCGCCGCCTGCTCCTTGACACCCACCAGCTCAGCAACGGCCTCGAAGTCACGTAAGAAGCTCCGTATGTCTCCTTCTTCAAACGCAGCTGGCCACGGGATCTTCATTTTTGGAGGCAGCGACACCAAATGTAACAACAGAAGGCAAGGGCTGGCAAAAAATCATTTTATTACGGAAATCAGCACGTATTTATAGATATTCTATGTACATTATTAGAGCTTATTCAAGTAGACAAACGCAGTCTTCTGATTGGTTGTTTTCGAGTTCCTCGTAAAGTGGAGCCATCTACCTGGGAATCATATTTGCCCACGCTTAATTCTGCTGTGATCAGTTGTCGAATCAGCCTTGTTCACATTTTCTCACGGCCCATATTAGTGACCTAGACATTGACGTAGATTAATGTCGACCAATTGGCTAGCAGCCTGCTCTCACCACAATATTATATAACCCTAGTCACGACTTACTAATCCTAGTTACAGTTTGACTATTCATCACATTTTTTGAAATATTTTGATGATTTTTCTTATTGTCTGACAAATCTGGTGTACATGCACACAAAAGTTAATTATATATAATAGCAATTCTATAGCTAACTGAATGAATTCCCCGAAAAGAGACTTTTCACTGACTGTTTGTCCTTATGGATGGATTTATTAAGAAAAAATATAAAATTGACAGAAAATTTGTGAATAGAGTTAGTTGTTAAATTTCATCCATTTATTCTGATAAATCTGTTGAAGTGACATGGTGCATCATATCTTTAAATTTTCTGGAACGGAACAAACAACATTTATGAAACAATTATTATCTAACGAAAGTCACAAAACAGCATACGATACTTTATTGAAAACTCAATCGAAAGACCTATATACATAGACTGGACTACAGTGTGAAAGGCTTTTTTACAACAAAGAAAAACACATTTAATCGTTTGTTTATGATACAGAGAATTAATTACCTTAATAACTCCCATACTAATGAGTAGTAGTATGCTCTGATGGTGTTCTCGTGACTTTTGCTGCCACATCTGCCAAGGGCTATGGGATAGTATGAGACCTAATGGTTGTGTCCAAGGTTTGAAGAAGGCTGTGTGCTATATGCATACGCCTCACCCTGATAATGTTTAGTGCGTCGGTGGCACAGAGATTAGGACGCTTGCCGACCATACACATGGTATGGGGTTCGATCCCCGGTCGACGCACTCCTTTACCTCGCTAAGCCAGTAGTGAGGCTGGTAAAGGGGAAAGGTTGGACATGAGGCTAGTAAAAATTAACACTGCCTGTAGCTTGAAGCCCTATGTCCCACTGGGAACGTGAAGGAAAAAATGAGTAGTAAAGATGCATGCTAAGGTATCCTGTGTTACACATTCAAATATTTTGTATGTTCTCTTTACGTGAAGTTATAAATCGAAAAATTTCTAAAAATAGATATATGAACGCGAACAAAAAGTGGTAGGGTTTTGGAGTACATCTTAGCCTTCACACAAATGATCACACAGCAATTATAATTTAAATTCTAAAGCGACTTATAATCTTGTAATCTTCTAAATTCCACAAATCACAAAACTGCCAGGTCATTTAAATAATATTAGTGTTATAATTGGTATTTGTTTGTGCAGTTAAGCATGAAGCCAACCTTATACTTCATTATCTTGTACATTTACGTTTCCGTCTCTATTTCAGTTAGCTGGTAGACAGATTATCCTTTACTGTTACTGTCTTTCAAAAGTTACCTAAAATGATTGATAATGACTATAAATCAGAAAAAAAGAATCAGTTTCGAATTATTCCAAGATACTGAGGTTGCAAATTAGCGAAATGGTTCCAGCTAGTGGTCGTAAAAACGAAGTCCTTCTGCCACAACTTGAGTCACGTAATTTGCAGCTTCTTATATCCCGTTTCAGACTTGGAGGGAAAAAATTCTTGAAGTAAAGTCCTTGAATTCAGATTATTTCGATTTTTAAAACGCAAAGAAGGTTCTGGGATTCGAAGTTAGGTCTATTCTAACGCTTACTGTTCAAATATATGGACGAATATGTTTATAGGGTTAGAGTTGCCGATTCCATTGTGGGTAAAATTTATTTTGATAAAGTCTCACAGTGTCTGTTTGATATGTAGTCACATGATATGTGTGTTTGTTTTTGACAGTCTGTTATATTTTGCTATGTGTATATGGATCGATCTTCCATTATAACTGACATTATGCTTTTGTCTGTCCACTAACTAAATAAACAATGTATGACCTTGTTATCACATGACATTACAACCAACTGGCTATTTATTGGTTCATGTGTATTAGCCATTTTCATATATGCTTTTGTACTGTACACTTTTATATATTCTTCTGGTTCACACACACATTTCGTACTTATTCACTCACACTCTTGTGTGACATTTATTTTCCTTGTCTGGAAAAATACAAGTATCATCGTAAACCTCGTGGTCTTCTGACTTCCCTCCTTTTGCGTCAGGACTATTGACTACTCAACGAGTACATGACATAATTGGCGACGGGGAAAACTACTATTAACCACTCAGCAGCAGTACATAACACTGTTATACAGTAATATTTAATGATGACCACGTTTCGAGCACAATTTATTGCTTATAATCATATCAAGGTACTCACACAAATTTGTAACTTCGTTTATATAATTCCACTATTTCCCATAGCTTGACTTGATTGGTAGTAGTATTTTCCATATTTCCGGTATGAGTGATGAGTCCTTGCAACCTATTGCACGTGTTGGGTGTAGACTCGATGGACAAGGATTCAGTAATCAACCTCTCTCGCTCTCCACCTACCTATATTCCTTCTTAGAATTTTAACCCTCTCCCACCCTATTGTGCGGTTGTGTGTTAATGCATGCAGTGCTATCGCTGAGCTCTTTTCTAAACTACTTATCTTCTCGGGGTCAAGTATTCTAACTTTAGCTAAAATCTTATCTTCTGACAATCTGACTACTCCTGCCCTACTAGTTTTACCCATGTAGTTGACTTAACTCACAGTCATTGCAAGGTATTCTGTAAATTATATTATTTTGTCTAATTGGGTCAACTGGGTCGTTTACCCTACAGAGCTTGTCCCTGAGTGAGTTTGAAGGTTTAAATGCCACTCTGATTCCTGCTTTATTAAGAATCCTCTGTATGGAGGGTATCAGATGTCCCCTCTTTACATCCCCTATAATTTATGTTATCATTATTAGTTTCAACATTATTTTTATTTTGGTTTTGACTTTTTCTGATCTTCCTAATGGATTTTATAGGATAGTTATTTGATACCAACGCTCCTTCTGTCTGTTCCATTTCATCGTTTAGGTCTTTTTTGTACCAATTAGTGCTACTGCTACTACGATTTTGTGACCTGTTTGCAGATTTTTAACATTCATGGGCCACTTGACATTCTCTTACATCTGAATCACTCATATTTTGATTTATGTAGCACATAAATTAGAGTCCACGCTACACTAATTTGGTGTTTGAATGAGAAATTATAAACAAACAAGTTATTCGAATCAGTGGTATAATGGTGTCAGTGGTTAAACCAGTCTTCGTGTCAGTTGAAAGCGAAGACAGAGAACTGAGTGCAACGGAGGTGTGCTACTGAAACCCTAAATCTCAAGTATTTGTTTGTAGGGATTGATTAGTTACAGGATTTCATCATGAGCTGACATCGACTAGAAAACCATCGGAAAACTTGCAGGAAGTACTGCTGGAACCCAGGACTTTCCCGTTACAAGACGAGCTCGTAGACCATTCAGCCACTGGGACCCGATCTAATGGCCAGTTCATGAATTCCAACTTCTGCCAATTCACGACATAGTGTGACCGCTAGGCAATGGCTTTGACGAGAATTTGTCCTCACATCCAACCTGCTGCATTTTACTTGTCACGAATTCCCACTAGAACCTAAATAGGGTGCGTACCGATGAAGGGTTCCAAACTAGGCCGACGAAACAGATGTCCAGTACTCCCAGGTTTCCTACTGTTTCTCTAACCGATGTCAGCTCATGATGAAATCCTGTAACACTAAATCTCATTTGGACGGCGTGCAACGAATAATAGTATTATTAGCTACAGTTAAATGTAACTATGCAAATTTAATACTAAGGCTGATGAAAGAGCTTTCTTAGAGATAGATCGACTCATCAGACAAATAAGATGTTTACAAAATTATATAAATATGAAAGAATTGACTGAAAGTAAACAGTCGGCAATAAGATCTCACAAAATAATATTACAGCCAAAGATGTCTAACTTTATAACGCATAAAAAAAGACAACTGTTTTACATTAATGCGCTACTGATTAACTTCAAATCATTCTTAAATGGAACAGATCAAAATTAGATGGATTATTTACTCAGTAAAATAAGCTTACTTATTTGGTTTGGAATCCATCATACGTGTATAGAAGTGAATCTAAAAATAGAAATGATATGAAAGGTATATGTATATATGATGTAATAAGACTTGTTGATTTATTCATTTAAAATTTCATGTTAAACATTTCACCAGAAACATTTATACCTTGTCAATTGATTCACTTAATCTATACATGAGTACGAAACAGACTGACGTAAAAACATGGCGCACAAACATTTGGCGCAAATAACAAAAAAACCGAAAAAATAAAATAACTGTCTGTGTATCATTAAATGTTAAGGATACAATATAAAAGGTAGAAGCGAAATGGGAATTGAAATGGAAACTTATCCCCCATTGACGACTTATGTATCGTAACAATTTGCATGCAGATAGGGTCCACTGAATGATGCGAAAAGGCAAAAGATGACAAGCTGTTCTGATTGGCTGCTGATTTTATGAAGATTAAACCCCAAGTTCATTTCTTGGCAACAAAGTAACCTAGATCCAGATTTCAGAAATACGTGTTTCTACTTCTTTAACCACTCACTTAAAATGTCGTTTTCAATTTTCGGCTACTTCCTATCAATCTCTCTCTCTCTCTCTCTATATATATATATATATATATATATATATATATATAATTCCATTACTATCCCAGTGGAACGTAGGCCTCTAAGCTAGAGGCTTGAAGTTTCTGTAGCAGTGTTGATTATTTTTACAGGACAGGGTTGTTGGCCTCACGCCAAACCTTTCCTTTTTACCAGTCTTAATGCTGGCTTAGCGAGGTGAAGAAGTGCATCAGTCGGGGTTCGAACCCCGGACCACCTGCGTGGTCAGCCAGCATTCCACCGCTGTGCCACCGACGTGGTGCGTTTACATAAATATATATATATATATATATCGCTGATAATTAGTGTCAGCAGCACGCGCAACAACTGTAGACATCCAGTCTTAAGTGACCATGGCCAAACGGCCAGCCGATTGGAAGGACATTATAATTGTACCTATAGCTAAGTCGTCTACTGGAACATGTTTTGAATTTAGACCTGTTGCTATTATCTCTCCTTTTCTAAAAACTGTGGAAAAGTTACCCTTACTTAATCTTCAACTTTCACTTAAAGCCTTTAACGATCCCAAACAATTCGCTTATAAACACAGTAGAAGTACTTTAGATGCAGTTGCAGTCTTGTACCATAACATTGTCTCCAGCTAAGACAAGGGGGCTAAATTTGTTCGCTGTACCTTCCTAGATTGCACATCTGCTTTTGACTCAGTCAGCACCTAGGGAGATTTTGTTAAACAAGCTTGGTGAAACTCAAACTGACTGTTGGGTTGTCAAATGGCTGCATTTTTATTTCTCAGGAAGAAAGCAGTACACTGTATGTCAGAGAAAGTTGTCCACTTCGCTGCTTACTGAGGCCGGTGTTCATCAAGGCACTGTCCTTTCTCCTTTTCTGTTTTCTTTCTTCTTGCATGACTTGCCTCATTCTGATTAAATGAACTTTGTTAAGTATGCGGACGATCTAACTATTTCAATGTCTGTTAACTCCCAGCTAGACTATACTAAGATGAACAGCTTTCTATCAGGAGTCAGCAAATGGTCTTAGTATAATGGTCTTAAACTAAATCCTTCCAAATGTCAGACTGTTAATTTTAGTTTCCGATGTAAACGAAAGTTAAATGAAGCAATTGGTTCCTATGACCCTTGCAAAAGTGATGATACTGATATGGAAACCAAGTTTGAAGTTAAGTATCTTGGATTAATTCTTTCTTCTGACCTATCCTGGTCTTCCCTTGTCTTAGCGATTTCTAAAAGTATATTTCGTCTGAGTTTTACATTAAGAAGTTGAGGCACTCAGGCATAACTCAACCACTCCTCTTACAGTTTGTCAACTCGTGTATTTTACCTATTCTTTACTGTTCACCCTTATTCTTTCCTGGATTGCTTAAAAAAGACTATTTCATACTTCGTAGAATTCTGAAGACTATCCCATTGGGCCATATCGTTGACACTGTCACTGATAGGCACTTCGTGTCATGTAACAAATTTGCCAAAGGAATGTTGTCAGACTCTGAGCACCTACTCTACGCGCAGCTCCAACCTTGTGTCTCCTCAGGTAAAACAAGCAGTCTTTTCAGAAGAATTTATGCACGTACGTCTAAGTATAAAAATTCCACTATAGCATATTTAGCACGTACTTTATGTGGTGAAAATGGTGTCAGACATGAACTAACTAACCTTCTTTGTACTACTAAATAAATCATTTCTTCCACGCTTACAGTACCAAACTTTATTGTAATTGTATTTCTTATATTTATAATCCTCTCAGTGTTTCGTTTTTATTTATTTATTTTTCATAAGTGTGAACATAATTTAAACAGTGTTAGAACTGATAATTTTGTATTTCCCCTCACCATACTATATCAACAGACCATTAGATCTAATAATCTATAACATGCTTAAATTTCTAAACTGAATCGACAATACTGTTTGAAACAAACTCACTGTTATTGTTATTATTATTTTATTTAATAATCTCAATTCGTGCTTCGAATGTTTTTGACTTTGTATCGTAAACGTGGACAAATCCCTCCGGTTACTTTTGTTTTAATTTTTAATTTTATTTTTATTTTCAGTAAATCAGATGCAATATTGTGACAAAAAGCTGAGAATTCTATTCTGTATTATAAGTAATGTTTATGGAATAAAGTAGATTATATATATATATCCTTGCAGAGAAGCTCTTAGTCTTAAGCCGCAATGCTTAACAACAGAACAGTAATAAATAGTATTACTGCATGATAACTGGATGTTTCGGTGAGTGTCTCAAAATGAAGTGAAAATAAAAATACATATGAAATTGATGAAATCAATCTATCTACCAAACACTTCTTCATAGATTACTTTTTACATGTTGGAGAAATTCATATTATAGAATAATTATTTTATGCTATTTTATGTTATAATCGTATTTTCTAGGTCTGGTTTATATTTTCCGTTAGACATTTCCCTATACTTTTCTGCATATAAAGTATGCCATTCGATATTTTAGTCTAAATAACTTACTTAGATAAGTAATGTAACCTCAGTAAAACTGATTTTTGTAATTCACACGCATAAAACTGTTAAACAGCTGAATTGACTTTGTTTCTTGCTCTTCTTATGTTAACAACTAAATGTTTTTTATCCTCTATTTTAATTGATACTTAATCATGTCATGTGAAGATCTATCACAGTTAAGTTAACTCGTAAAGTTATACACAGTTATGGAGATATGACGACGTAAAACCTGAGTGAGTGATTAAAACACTTTAAGAGTACATGAAAGCCTGACAATTAGGCAGCAAATTTATTTTTAAAAATTGAAGATAAATAGAGTCAGTCATCTTCATATTTTTTGACAGATTAGTTTTAGGATAACGATGAATACTACACCATTATGAAAGTTCATATTTCAGCAATAGCATAAAATGCAAAGAACAGCAGAATGTACTTATATGCATTAAAGAAAAGATATACTGTTGATATTGTTGGCAATAATGCAAACTTGACTAATAGAATTCAATCTACACCAAAGAAAGTACTAGACACACTACACTACACTAGTCACTGATTAATGATCAATCAAAGAGTCCAATACAATCCTAAAGCTCAGTGGTGATGTCTCTGACTGCAGCACTGGATGACGCGGGTTCGAATCTCAGAAGAGACATGACTTCCTTCTTTCAAGGTTGCAGATACGCCTTGCTGGCTGGTGACCACAAAACCTAACTCCAAGGCTTCTTTCAACCATCTAATATCAACAATTCAGAATGCACTGTGATGGCTGCCGAGCCACCTAGAGAATGCTGGCCACATTGCAAACTTGACTAACTGATAGAATTCAGTCTCCACTAAGCATAGGGCTAGATTCATCGTCTACGGACTCTTAAATTTCGCTTAGCTGGGAGTAAGCCAGATGAAAAGTAATGGTGGGGCATCTGGTTGGAAACCCTACCACCACCCAGTAAAAACAACACCAGTGTGGGTGAAACGACAAAGCTCAAGGATGAAACCCTATGCTCCACTCGGAACGCAAATACATTATACATATATATGCTATCTAGTCATAATAATATCCGATTTTGTCTTTCAAAGGAAAAAACAACGCTCCATTACAAAATCATATCATCAATCTGTTAAGATGTGCGTCGGTGGCACAGTGGTTAGGACGCTTGCCGACTATGCACATGATCCGGGGTTCAATCCCCAGCTGACGCACCCTTTTACCTCGCTAAGTCAGAAATAAAAAAGCTGGTAAAGAGGAAGGGTTTGGCATGAGGCTAGCAACCCCATCCTGTAAAATAAACAATGCTACAGAAACTTCAAGCCACTAGCTTGAAGCCGTATGTTCCACTGGGGAACGTGAAGGGAAAAATCTGTTAAGATAGATCCGTCAAATATTCAAAATATACGTAATTACCCAATAAATTGGGAAATAAAATAATAAGAAGTCTTGTATCAGATAATGCCAAAACTACTCTCCGCAGTAAGCATGTGGGAAGAATAGTGAATTGTGATAACTAACTCTTAATCCACGCCATATTCTATCTTTAACTCTACCCCGATCAATCACAATGTAATAAACAAATATGTTATTTTACACATGTTACTGTCTCTTCTCACTCAATGAAACATCTTGATTGTTGGAGACAGTTTCATTTCTTCAGATAAAAATTTCCATCTAATCTTATGAAGTCTCAATAATAATTTTAAAAACCTAGGAGTACTGGACAGCTGTTTCCCCCGTCCTAGTTTGGGACTCTTCATCAGTACGCATACAACGGGTTCGAACCAGTGGGCTAGTGGATCGGGTCCCAGTGGCTCAAAGTTTTACGAGCTCAATGGCCTTGTAACCAGAAGGTACTGGGTTCGAATCCCGGTGTGGGTGCGTACTACTGAAGAGTCTCAGACTAGGTTGACGAAACAGCTGTCCACTACCCCAAGGTTTTCCAGTGGTTCTCTAACTGATGTCAGCTCATGATGAAATCCTCCATCAATCGAACACAAAAATCCCTACAAAATCAATACATGAAAATTTTAAAAACCAAAATTAGTTTAAACAAATAAAACTGTAGTGATATAGGGGGAGTTATCATGGATTGAGATTGAGCATCACAACTGACAAAGCTACAGTTTACGTGAAAATAAGGAGAAAATGAATCGAAGCAATGATGAAGAGATGAAAATAAAGACACATTCACACACACACGCACACACACACACACACAACGATAAAATAAGCTAAAGAGTAAAAACAAAATAAAGAACAGGAGATAGATAAGTTGACCTTATTGATCTATCTTCATTATTTTTAAATTAGTTACAACTTACAGTTTGTGCCCATCCAGCATATTCTCCCCAAATATTACTAAGCGATTTAGAGATGACATTATAAGACTTTGTAGTTACATTCTTACGAGATGCTTCAGGAATTTTTCTTTCATATGCAGCACGATGCATATGCACATCGATAGGGACAACATTCAGTTTATCTAAGGATGTAAGGCATATACAATCTGCAACCTTAAATTGACGAAAAATCAGAAAAAGGAATGCTTTGTTTTATTCAAGACACGAAGCATGTAAGTAATATGTTTGAGAAATACAGAATAAATAAACTGTGCTGATAATATTTCATGATGACTTTATGTATAATCTTTAGAAAAATTGAACAGAAGCGCACGCGTTCGACTAATACCTCATCGGTTCCCAAACATTTAGTTACTATGACACCACCGAATCAACATTGACGATTTGTTTACCTAACGAAGTCTTTAGTACTCACAGTGTGGTTAGAGCTATCTGCAAGCCAAATTATAAACAACAATTCACGTCAATGTTTATGTCCCGAATCGGGGTCACGAGATGAAACAATAATAAAGCCTAATTTTGAGGAACTCAGCAACCAATCACAGCAAACTTAACGTGCCCAAATACGATTCGCAGATATATGGCCTGGCTTCTAAAGAAACGGTCAAAAGCAGTACAAAATTACTTTCAGCAAGAAAACAACCAATCAGAAGACATTGCTTCTCTGCTGACAATAACGCGAATAATAATGTACATAAAAATCTGTCTGTCTGTTTTCGACATAGAACTTTGCACCGATGTGTAGCAGTTCAAGTCGCCACACTCCCTCCATGCAGCACACAAAGCAAGATCGGAAAGTAGAAGAAATGCATAATAGAGACAGTAAACAGAGATGTGAGACAATGGAATAGTAATAACGAAGAACAATATAGTTTCATTGGAAATCATAATTCACAAGGAGTGGATGCATCCGCACCAGCCACTGAGAACGATTTTGAGACATATCATCAATTGTTTCCAGCCTTCATTGGTTTTTACCGTCCCGATGACTCCAATCAGGAAGTCTACACCTTCCTACGTGGCTGACTTAAACTAACTGTTGTGGATTTCACTGACCGATGAAGGGATGTTTTGTTCTGACCGCCTCTAGCGCTTTTCCAGCCTGACCCTATGTCAACTAACATTGCCCACTGTCGAAGAAGGCGATGACTAGGCATACCTAACACATGTCCTAACCATCTCAGTCGATGTAATTTCACAGCCTCGTCGACTGATTTCCCCTCCTTGCCTAGCACTCGATCGATACCTAACCTCAATATTGCTCACCTTATTATACCACTTCACACGGGAGATAAAGCACAGGCACCTATGATCAAAGACAACTAACAAGGCTTTTCATGTCTTCCACTTTCAATGGTCAGGTCTCACAGGCGGCCATAAAGGACAATGGAGCGGACACTGACGAGCAGTACATCCGTCCTTTGGTCGACAGCCAGCTGGACATCACGTCTACGTCAGAGACGGTGTAAACTGGCATATAAGAAACTAGCCCTCTGTATCCGTGCTGAGATTTCGTCAGAGATCAACCCGTTGGCACTGGCTGATGGTACTTCCCAAATAAGTGAAGCTGTCAACGTGCTCTACCACTTCACTCCGTATTTCTAAACTAGGAGTAAGTGTAGTCCAATCCTGTAACATCATCTTACATTTGACGGGAGCGAATCGCATGGCAAACATACGTAGATTGCAGCTCATAAAAATGTATAAATATCTGTTGATTTTTTTAATAAACGATCTGTTGACTGTCCATTGTCTTCTTTTGTTACAACAGATATATATATATATATATATATATGTCAGTGGAGGAGATAGTAAAAGATCCCCACCAACGACTACTTTTTTCATTTTATTTTCTGTACTCGGATAGTATGGATTTTGTATTTGTTGTTGCAGTTAGCACATCATGAGAGTCAGACACTTTAGCAACGTAGATGCATCATTCAGCCTTATTCGATTAAACAAGCCCAATGTAGAGAATTTAACAAGGATATTTTAAAACGAAAAAATTCCATCTCTATGAAATACACCAAAAGGATTAAAAAAAAATACAACTGAAATAAAAAATGATAGTGAGATTATTTTCCATTGATAAAAAGCGAATAACAATCACTGACCTTCTTTCCAATTCCAGGTATTTGAGTAAGAAATGCCTGAGCTTCAGAATGAGGAATTGTACGCAGTTCATATAATCGAGATTTGCCTCCATTCTTTAACAACCAATCAGCAGCTTGTCTAGAATAAATTTCAGAAATATATATATATATATTTTTATCAGACTCAAAATACTTGAATAAAATAATTTGTAATGGCCGATTAGGTCAAGTTTTTTTTCAATTACTTTGATTTGTCTGACTATAATATTAAAACAATTAGTCCCTTTGATAAATTTGAATAAGGCATTTAGAAGACAAATTTCGCGAGATGATATCATCATTTCGTAGTTTCAATTACAACCGCTTTACAACTAACATGGTTAACAATAGTAAAATAAAGATCATGAAGATTACTCAGTTAAATAAGAAACAAAAGTAAATAGTAATGACCAATCATATTTAGATAGGCCACGTGGTCCATGGAAGGCGAAGATTGAAGTCTATTAAAGTATAATTATATTTCAGTTATTTAAACACAATGATAAGTTTTGTTATTGGTAATATTTCGAGCAAAATTACTGCCCGTGTTCACACCACTGTTGGAATTATTTTATTCACACATTTATGATTTGCAGCGCTCACACATGCTTTAAAAATATGCATCAAAGAAAACCTACGTGGAATTATACGAAAGCTATTCACGATAAGGAGAGATATTAATGAAGTAAAGGAAAAATTGAAAGAAGCAATTGAAAAAGAAAAGTATGAAAGTATACTACAAGTTGCACAAAAACGAAAAGAAACTACCTATGAAAAAACAACGGAGAAACAAATAAAAAAATTTAATAAACTCATGATAGCGAAAAACCCGAATGACAGACAAGTAACTAAAGCCAATTAGATTGTAAACTTGTCAGACAGAAAGCTAACAGAAGCAGAGGAAAGCATACTGATGAAAGGGATGAACTTCAAAATTAGCAACAAAAGATTAAAACCTGAAGATATCATACCTGTAATTGAAGTCTATTGTTTTTTGTACACACAGTTTAGGCTGTATATGATTAATTCAAAGTGCTTCCATCACCTTCAATAACCTTGAATTAGAGTTATGTGAAATAATTGTGAAACAGTCATTAATATTGATTTTGTGACCTGACATTAATAAGTGTTTTGCAAAGGAGGATGCTGGATTTCTATTCAGATTAATCGTATTGGGATTTCCTATATGATTTGGTAGCCATTTCAGAGCATGTTCTTTTCGACAACATTGGAACATTCTGTTGATTCTACCTATACAGGTGTCACCACCGCTGCAGGTGAACTTGTAGATACAGTTTAAAGTAGAGTCTACAGAATTTCGTCCTTTAATCGTAGGTACAAGGATTGAAAATGTTCAGCAAGTGAGAAAAAGAGATGAGGCAGCGTAGAATGTGAGTTTGATGGCTGACCGAAGTCTTTGATCTGTCAACTGCATAATCTGGTCACCCTTGACTGGTAGATTAATAAAGATAGCTTTCTTTGGTAGAGAAGCTGTCTTTTCGAGATATGGTCTTTCTTTACTGTGATAAGTGATAAAGTTTTCCGGATAACCATTAGCTAATAAAACTGAATGTATATGTCGAAACTCATCCATCAATGTATCACTCGTGCATATTTTTCGGGACCTTGAGAACAAACATTTCACTAGGGAAGATTTATACTGGAGACACAACTAAATGAAAGTAGAGAAGTGTAGGCGTTCTATTTATCATGATGATAGAAATTGATGGCTAGTTAGATTCAGGTGGAATCCGCGCCTTTATATATATACATATATATATATTCTTATTCGGTTTAGTGCCAAAGAATAATACTAAGGCTTACTGAAGTTCACATTTTTACATTGAGGATATAACTCAATGAAGACAGAATGATTTCCTTTTTAACTAAGTCCTCATTAACAGCCTTACACTAAAACGTAAAGCATTTCCAAGAGTTGATTTGTAAGGATTTGATTTGTTTTTCAAGTTTAACCACGGACTAATATCACTGAGAGAATCATTGAAAACCAGTGAGTACTGGAAATCTGTTCCATCTTAGTATGGGACTCATCGGTGGTACGCACCAACCACCAGGATCCGAATCCTGGACCTTCCGGTTACAAGACAAGCTGGCTCGTATACCATTCAGCCATTGGGACCCAATTCATTGGCCAGTCCATGAATTCTAACTTCTACCAATTCCTGATACATTTAGCGTGACCGCCAACCAATGTCATCGGCGGGAAATCCACTCTCACACTCACGACTGGTTGGTCCTAATTGGTCACGAGTTCTCTCACTAGAACTCCAGGAAACTCCATCTTGTAGCCAGTCACTACCAAGCATCAAACTTACTTTCAAGAGTTTATTTGCTTTTCGACTTTGACCATGGACTGATAGCATTCAGAGAATCATTGTAGACCAGGGAGTACTGGACAGCTGTTTCTTCCTAGTTTGGGAATCATCATCAGTACGTATTTTATCAACAATAATTGATCAATAATAATAATGTATCCCATGAGTAATAATTAACTAAGCGAATAAGGTTTATAATTACACCTTAAGTTATTTAAACTGATACAAGAATAATGTATGCCTAGTGTTTTCGTTCGATAATGATACCAGCAACTTTGTAACCATCATTTTCAGTAATATGAAGACAACTGATTTTACAATGTTTCTGTAATCTTTAAAGTGTTGCATACGACTTTTTAGATGGCTTAGAATAAGGCTGTGATCATCTATTATTATGTCTGTCTGTCTGTTTTCGACATAGAACTTTGCACAAATGTGCGGAAGTTCAAGTCGCCACACTCCGTGTAGCACGCAAAGCAAGAGAAGAGAGTACAAGAAAAGCATAATAGAAACAGTGAGCAGAGGTGTGAGACAAAGGAGTAATAAAGAAAAACAAAACAGTTTCATTGGAGATCATATGTCACAAGGAGTGGATGCATCTGCGCCAGCCACTGAGAACGATTTTGAGCCATGTCACCAATTGTTTCCAACCATTGATTTTTACCGTCTCGAGGACCCCAGCCTGGTGGAAGTCTACACCTTCCTACGTGGCTTAGACCAACTGTTGTGGATTTGATTGACCGGTGCCAAGTTTTTGTTTGACCGCCGCTAGCTTTTTTCCAGCCTGACCCTATATCTACTAACATTGCTCGTCGAGAGAGGCGATGGCTTGGCATACCTAACACATGTCCTAACCATCTCAGTCTTTGTAACTTCACGACTTCGTCGATTGATTTCCCCTGTTTACCTAGAACTCGACGCCTAACTTCAATGTTGCTCACCTTATTATGCGACTTTACACGGGAAATAGAGCGCAGGCACCTATGATCAAAGTCAGCTAGCCAGGCTTTTCATGTCATCCACTCTCAGTGGAAGGTCTCACAGCCATAAAGGATGGCAGAGCGGACTGATGAGCAGTACATCCGCCCTTTGGTCGACAGCCAGCTGGACATCACTTCTACGTCAGAGACGGTGTAAACTGGCATATGAGAAACTAGCCCTGTGTATCCGTGCTGAGATTTCGTCATAGATCAACCTGTTGGCACTGGCTGATGGTACTTCCCAAATAAGTGAAGCTGTCAACGTGCTTTACCACTTCACTTCCTATTTTATTATGATGTAAGACTGCTCGAAAATTTGATTAATTTCGTGATCAGGGATAGTTAGTGAGTAACAATGAGACGAGAAAAACAACATGTCAGTGGTTCTTATTTGACACACTTGATGATCTCATCATATGGTCAGGAAGTTACTTAGTTGAAAGTTTGGTAGATTTTCAATGGTACAAAAAGCAGGTGTGAGTGATTTAAGTAATCGAATGAGCTCCTAATTAATCGACTACACGAATCAATAATAATAAGCGTATCAGTTTTCTTTGAAGTTGTAATTAACTGTCAAAATCAACGGGTTAGATTGATGAAAAATATGTGTAAGGTAACCAATATTTTGCTTTTCAATCATAAGATATTGATTGTATTTTATCGATCACATCCATTAAGCAAACTCTAAGATAGTCAGTCGGTTTATATTCAGAATTCAATGCTGGTTAAAGAAAAGTATGAAATTCAGAAGTATATTTTCAGATATACGCACAGAGTTTTAATAATCCAGTAAAATCGTTCGTTTTCTATAGTTTGATTTGTAAGGGTTAGTTGTGTTTCTACGAGTTGATCACGGATTGATATCAGTTAGAGAACCATTGAAAACCAGGGAGTACTGGACAGCCAGCTGTTTCATCCTAGTTTTGGGAATCATCGGAAGTACGCACCCACCACCATGGTTCGAACCCAGGACCTTCCGGTTGCAAGGTAAGCTCATATAACATTCAGCCACTGGGACCCAATTCAGTGGCCAGCTCATGAATTCTAACTTCTACCAATTCGTGATTTAGCGTGACCTCAACCATTGTCGTTGATGGGGTCGCGCTGACACATTAGTTTTCTATAGTTTGGTTTGTAAGGTTTAGTTATGCTTGATACTCACTAGTGACTTGATACAAGATGGAGTTTCCTGGGGTTCTAGTGAGAAGTCGTGACCAGTGAGGTCCAATTAGATGTGGATGGATTTCCCACCAACGACAATGGTTGGGGTCACGCTAAATCACGAATTGGCAGAAATTAGAATTCATGAGCTGGCCACTGAATTGGGTCCCAGTGGCTGAATGTTATATGAGCTTACCTTGCAACCGGAAGGTCCTGGGTTCGAACCATGGTGGTGGGTGCGTACTTCCGATGATTCCCAAAACTAGGATAAAACAGCTGGCTGTCCAGTACTCCATGGTTTTCAATGGTTTTCTAACTGATATCAATCCGTGATCAACTCGTAAAAAAATCGTTTGTGGCAAACAGAATTCTGATTTTGTACCACCTTCTGTATAAAGTACAGAACACTAAAATTTCAGTAAGATTTGACAGTAAACTTCATGAAAAAAAGCCAAGAAGCGAATTAAAACAAAGTTAATAAATCCAACCACATACACAATAAATTTCGATCGATAACCGAAGCCAATATTTTGCAATTCGCTAATCATCTTCGGTTGTGCAAGTACTTCAAGTGATGGAAATGTCCAATTGCCCACATTACCATCACCATCATCATCAAGATACAGGGGATCACCGTACAAACTGCATAGTTTATAAAGTAGCTTTGTAATACGTGTTAAATTGTTATTAGCTGACGTAATGAAAGCAAATAACGTCTCTACTGGATCTTGTCTCATTAAGCGTAAACCACGAGCTGTATCTGTACTGGAGGCATCTGAAAAACGACTAGTGAACCATTCATCCCGTATGCACCATTCCTTAATTAGATCTGATAAGTTTATTCCAAGTCTAAAATAATCGAATAAGTCTGATGGTATATCTGTTAAATCTGAACGTGTATTTGTAGGTTTATCCAAGGTATAGTATTCTACAGGCTTGGAACTGTCAATTTGACGTAGTCTCCATAGTTTACCATTTATAACACCATGCCATTCATTATCCGTCGGCTTAGAAATCCAACTATAAATGAAGAAAATACTGAGGTTTTAGTGAATAGGATTAATATTCATGTTCTCCATATATATATATATATATATATATATATATATATACATATTTAAAATTGTTTGAATTTGTTTATTGACATAATTGTGTACAATACAACACAAAAGAAAGAGGCACTGTGGCCTGTGCTACTGAGAAGAATTATCAGTAGTATATAAAGAGACAATGAGGGATATCATTGGTGATAATAAGCACCTTTGTCTGACTCCTGTGTTTACTCGAAACGCCTCGCTGAGATTTCCGTTGTGGATCACTTGAAAACTCAGCGAGGCGTTTCGAGTAAACACAGGAGTCAGACAAGGGTGCTGGCTTATTATCACCAATGATATTCCTAAATGTGGTGGACTGACTGGATTATGCGTCAGACAGTGAGTGAGAAACGAGAAGACAGGATTATCCTGGACGGACAGACGCGAAGAACCTAGAAGACCTGGATTTCGCGCGTGGATGATTTATGTTTGATGTCACTGTCACAAAATCAAAGACTTACAAGCGAAAACCGACCGACAAACTGGTCGAAGAAGCAGCCGGCGAAGACAGGACTCCAGGTGAACATAGACAAGACGGAGGTTATGAAAATAACCAACCAACCACCACCAACAACAACATCAACGGCAACAACATCCAGTGACAATCACCATCAACTGGAGGGATTTGAAAGAGGTTACTTCATTCACTCACTTATCTAGCATCGAGCATTGTCTCAACTACATGCAGTCAGAAGAGACGAGGATGTCAAATCGAGCGAGAATCGGGAAGGCGAGAGAGAAACACATTCATCAACCAACCTGAAACCAATCTGGAAAACCAATCTTCGTCACTCAGCCAGCATCAACAACAAAATTCAGTAGGATTTTCAATACAAACACGTCAAGTCAGTCAGTTCTTCTATACGGATGAGAAACTTGGCGGGCGGGTTACAAAGAATATTTCCAACAGCCTGTTGCAGACCAGACCTTTATCAACCAACAACTGTCTTCACTGGCTCTATACTGAAGATCAGATGACCGGGCCGGAAAGAATCACCAACAAGAAACTATGAGAAGGAACAAACAAAACAAGAACCAATTGCCAGCCAACATATATGCAGGTGATAGTGAAGATGGATTGGACACTCACTCGCTGAGGAGGCCGCTGGCTGGGTGACATCGCGCGCGCGTCAGGCCATTGCTCGAGTGGAACCAGGCCCAAAAGGAAGGGGCGAGTGGGACGTCAGTGCAAGGGTGATATGGAGGAGATCGTGTGAAGAGGAGTTGAAACAGTATGGACTAACATGGATGCAGGTGAAAAGTACAGCAGAAGGAAGACAGAAGCAAGTGGAGACGTGCAGTTGAGGCCCTATGTTCCACTAGGAACCCAAGGGAACAATAATTAGAATAATATAAAGAGGCATTCATCAATATAAAAGCATCAAATAGCAGGGAGATAGATTTGATGGTAAAGAAAGCAAATGATACGGTGTTGCGGGAAAGGAACACAAAGAAAGAGACACAATATGAAGACTAGAAGTATCACAACACGGAAGATCTGTGTAAGTGGTGAGTTGCAAAAAAGGTATACATAATTTGGCTATATAGAGATACCGAATTCCATATAAACGTCCTGCCTTTATCAAGTCTTTCGTCTTCTAACGTTCCAGTAATACTTAAGTTATACAAAATAGTCATATTTTCATATGATAACGAATAATTTCAGTTGGGACCGCCAATCTTCAAGTAGCGGTTTTACTCTGCCAACATTGGATTTTATTGCTGTTATGTCGAAGAAAAACACTATGACAATGAGATTTGAAGATGAATCTGTAAAATTCATATCTCGAAGAGAAAAAAAAATTACCACAGCAGTCACTGTAAAACCTTATTAAGGTATGCAACACCACCTACACAGTATGCACTATCTTATCTGTGATAAATAGTTACGGAGTATACGCGTCATACTGCTTTAAACGTATGTGTAGTTTTTAAACAGAATTTGTACACTATACATCTCATCATATTCAGCTGGAAAAAATTAGATAACCCTAAATTGTATCGAGTGGTGACTTGGCAACTACTTTGCTACTACCAAGGGGTGCTGCCGACAATTATACATCTCATCCAACAGTTGCACGACAATGCTTTATGCCAAGTAATCCACAAGGGAAAACTTACGGAATCCTTCGAAGTGAAAACGGGAGTAAGACAAGGCTGCCAATGTCCAATGATTGTCCTGATATCAGTAGACTGGATAATGAATGCGACAGACAGCGGGCAATGAGGAAACAGACATAAAATGGACCCAAGCAAAAAATTGGAGGATCTGAACTTCGCCGATGATGATATATGTCTGATTTCCCACAAACTAGAAGATATGTAAGTGAAAAGCAACAAGTTTGAAGAAGAAGCATCAAAGATAAGCCTTCAGGTGAACATAGAGAAAACAGAGGTGGTGAAGATTCCTGGCCAACAGCAACAACAACAGACAACAATCAGCATACATGGGAGAAATTTGAAGGAAGTCACCTCCTTTACCTGACTACGTGGGAAGCATCCTTTCAAATACAGGCGGACGGAACTGATGAGGATATTAAAGAGCAAGGATCGGGAAAGCAAGGCAAGCTCTCATTGCTCTCAAGTCTGTGTGGAGAACAACGGTACCTCTCAGCATGAAAAATAAGATCCGAATATCCAACTACAGTGTGAAGTCAGTGGTACTATACGGATCAGAGACTTAGCCAGCGCATCACGAAGGCCACTTCCAACAAACTACAAACTTTCATCAACAGCTGTCTTCACTCAATACTCAAGATCAGATAGCCGACCAGAAAATATCAGCAACAGAGATCTTTGGAGATGAGCGGGAACCAGCTGTGCAACAAATAAGCAGGAAGAAATGGAGTTGGATTGGCCACACTCTGAGAAAACCATCAAGTGACATCACAAGACAGGCTCTCGAGTGAAATCCGAACGGGATGAGACGAGTTGGTCGTCAGTGCGAGGGTGGAGTGACATGGAGGAGGTCATGTGAGGTCATGCCAATAATGGCGTGAGCACATCTGCTGCAGTATCTCGATCCGAATGCTTTCTATGCGAGACTGAAGATAATATTCTATCATGAATATTTACTAAGGTGATAAATCATTAGAATACGTGTTCAACTTCTAATCAGTCACCTAATTTTTTAAATGACTTTTGACTAAGTTAAGGGAAAATCATTTGATATACGACATACTTCTCATCGAATTAAAGAGTTTACGAAGTCTACACTTTTATTTTTCATTACAGCTTGATTCCACTACATAATTTTTTGATACAGGTATGGAAATTTCAGCATGTGATATCGGCACCCAAGAATTTGCAGGCCAATTATAGATATCAAAAGTGTGCGTCGACCGGAGATCGAACCCCGAGCCATGTGTATGGTCAACGAGAATCATGCGGAAGTGAATAGGTACTTAGTCGTTAGTAAATAAAGTATGCAAATCAACCTTCTTTATGCACATAAAAAGGAGGGGGGAGGGTATTCGCATTACTGATCCTACAATTTTTATAAAAGGATATAAAGTAGTTGCTCAGTTAAAAAAAGGGGAGATAGAAAATGAACTCTCACCGGAAAGCCTGACCGCTATTTAAGGTAGCAAACAGATTGAAATCCTTCGGACATACAGGTATTGAACACCAATTGTTTACTTGTTTCTAAAATTAAAAAAAGTAAACATGTAATGAAGATTTTGATTGAGTTGTATTCTCCAAGCTGGTTGATTTAATTGCGAAGCTTTCATCATCCACCTTCTAGACAACATCTTCAGCGCAGGTTTTAAGTATAAAATGAACTTATTTAAATTCTTCATGAATGACATTTATTCGTATGTCCTGACAACCATTACCATGACTGGTTTTTGTTAATTTACGCCTCTACTGGTAATTTTTTACTACCTTGGAATTTGAACTTTCTTGTCATGATTTACTTTTTATTAGATGGTAAATTTGATCTATAGTAATGTGATTGTTGATTGCTGACTCACTTGAGTACCAGACTTCTAGGAATTTCTTGGCAGTTTTGGTGTTTCCTCTATTTAAAATTTCTACATTATCCCAATCACACTGGTATCCATAATTATCTATACGCACTGATATGAAATTATATATATATATATATATATGCTCTCTGAACACGCAGGTGGTACGGGGTTAGGTCCTCAGCTGACGCACTCCTTTACCTCACCTAGTTAGTAGTAAGTCTGGTGAAGAGGGAAGGTTGGACATGAGGCTAGCAACCCCGTCCTGTTAAAGTAATCACCACTGCTACAGAAACTTTAATTTAATAAAAATCGCTCAGTATGCTTTGTCTGAGGAGAAATCAACACAAAAAGAACCGCATATCAGCGAATCGGGGTGGAAGTCAACGAGAGACATAAAACTTAAAAATAGAAGTATGAACCTTAATACAAAAGGAATATACATAAACATACTAAATGAGTCCACCTATATCATTGTCATCTTTTTGAACTATATCACCTGCAATCTCCGGTAATTTCTTTTCATGGCTCCACTAAAACCGAACGGAAAGTCAGAAAGCTCCTTTATAAAGCTAATAACAGTTTTAATACACTGATGAGTCGAGCACATGAAATTATGACTGTTCATGCCTCCATCTTGGGTTCTTAACATCCGTAACTTTATAATCAGAAAGATATGTCGATAAGGCAGAATATCAATGTCCTGAATAACAACGAATACACCACAGCTGTTATTTTTTTCTAATAGTACCTTTTTCATATTTGAAAATGCGATAAACTAAATTTTTACAATGTAACGAAATCCAGAATATGTTAATACAACCTACCTATGTTGGTTAAGGCATACATAAGCTAGGGCCAGTAGCTCAAATCATTTAAGTCTTATTTCTTACAGTCTAAGACTATTTATTTAGATTACCTCATGTAACTCGGGCATAGGAAGCCCAGTTTTCGAAATTATTCAGAAACATACGTAAGAAACCGCATTTGTATTATAACCAGAATTTCACATGCGAAAAGATTATTAGTAAGGAAACTAAATCCAATAAAATTACCTCTTAGTATTACTACACTGTGTAGTTAACGAAAATGTTACACATCAGATAGGTGACAAAAACGAAACTTTTACACTCTTAGAATTCAACTAATGATATATATAATGATGATAACATAAAATGAGACGAAGGGAGAAATATGATACTAGAGTGAAGTGGAAACAAGATATTTTTGCATCTGTAGAACTGCAGTGTATTCGGTAACGTATCGCTTTGGTCCTACAACTATGCGTTTTTATTATGGTGTAGATACAATGGTGATGAGTTACCTTACTCATCAGACCAATAATATGACCGCGAATTCTTCTAAATTAATATTTATTCCGATAGCAAAGCATGTTCAGATAAGTGCTTATTCAACACTTATTCCGGTCACTTTAGGATGTCTACTAAATCTTGTCTTTTTGATTACCTAATTAATGGTTCAGCAAAACGCTAATTACTTCTCAACATACCTTACAAGCTCCATTTTTATTAGACACATTCCATAGACAAAATATACAATAATGTTCGGAACAGTTAGTGATCCGTTGCGTTACAAGCCAAATAAAAGACGTAGATAAATGAAATTAGAGCTAGTCGAGATGATAAATTATATGAAAGGTAAATTACGATGCTAATTAGAGACAGTTTCATCAGACTAATATAGATTGCTGGACAACGCCGTCTGTAAGCAAAACTTTTCTTATAATAATAATAATCACGGGTAATGAGCTTATCTAAGTATCTAACAGCGTAGTTTTACGAAGACTACATGGGAATCAAGCGGAAAAATAACTGGAACCTTACGGGTACACAGATAAAACTTTCATCAATCAACAGGTCTTAAAAAATGGGCACAATTACTAATGTCCAATTCCTGCTGTAACCATTTATCAAGGTCCATCGATTAAAAGATGCTATAGCCACCTCTGGCTGTATAGTGAACATCAAGAAGTTAAATTATACTCATAAAAACACTGCTCGAACTCACTAATTTACACAAGGTTTTACAGAATAATGCCGTCACGGATTCTTGTTGTCACAGTAGACAGACTAATGGATTCTCTCTGGCTGACTTCGATTTCTTTGGAATCGATTTGATAACACAGAAATGTTTTATTGATTCAAAAAATGCACATGATAAAATCCTTTACATGGAGGCAATTACAAAATTCTGCTATATGAGCACTCTAAATAAAAATCGGAGTTGTTTACGTATGTAGATTGCTACTGTCAAATGTAAAATGATGCCATCGGACTAGTTTGTACAGACCTTTAATTTTAGGAGAGGAATGGAATCATTGCATTGTGTACGTGTCCACGACGCCTACTTGACAAAACACATCAGCTCTCACAAACTAGCTGCTAACGAAAGTCCAGTTTCATATTTATCAAGACAAACCAACTTTGTATGAGGTGAAATATTCAAGGACTTTTGGTAACGTGACTTAAAATCACTCACAATCACAAGTTTGCATCGTGGTGAATCTAAACATCTTCGCTGATCTATTCTTTCAGTTACATTTAACTGGGACTGCCAAATTTCTGTTTTCTACTTGTAGTAAGTGTTTTTTGAAGTGCGACAAACTGAACCGGTGGACATGTAGGTGAAAATTGTTTGTTAATCATTCACTTTTTTCCTTTTTTTTGTATGAAATTTTCCTAGCTTATTTTAGCCACAAAGTAACAATAGGATGCAAGCCAGCCTTTAGTTACTGAATCAAAAAGACTATTTTTTTTCATGTGAATCAAACCAGCCAGGAGCACATTTTTTCAACTTTAACTCAAATCCTTGCTGTTTCAATTGTTCTCTCTAGTTTAATGTTACTTTACCTTTCCGATAACAATGCACAATTCAGATGATTACAGGATAGTGTATAAATATGAAAGGTATACACAAATATGACTGCATATTTTCTCGATATCATGTCCATTAACTCAATGAGCTAAATCACTGAAACTAATTCTTCATTAATAAATTTCACTGAGCTTTTTCATGCTACTCCCGCCTTCATGATCACACACACACACACACACACAGTAACAAAGTAGATTCACCAATAGACTCTTAATTATAATTATGGCAAGAAGAAATTCTGCTCTTGTGTAATTCACTAGTTCAAAAGCTGCAGAGATTACTCTGATTGTGACTTAACAACCGAGAATCAGATCAATCAAAATTAGATCATCAAGTATCCAGAAGAAATAAGATTTACAGGCAACATGACACGCACATACACAGAGAAACATATCAAAAAAATTTGAAAAAACACTATGGGTAAATTTGGTTTTGATAAAATCTCACAGTGTTATACAGTTATTTTGTAACAACAGAAGACAAGGGCCAGGCAACAGATCGTTTTATTATGAAAATCAACACGTATTTATACATATTTCACATACATTATTATAGCTTATGCAAGTAGACAAGCGCAGTCATCTGATTGGTTGTTTATCAGAAGTTAGGCAGACAAACGCAGGCTTCTGATTGGTTGTTTCGGGATTCCTCGACAAATAGAGTTCTCTATCTGCGAATCATATTTTGCCACGTTAACTTTGCTGTGATTGGTTGTCGAATCAGCCTTGCTCATATTTTCTTACGGCCTGCTCTCACCACAATTTTACTGATGACCACGTTTCGAGTACAATTTATTGCCGCTCATAATCATATCAAGGTGCTCACACGACTTCCCTACTTCATTTATATAGTTCCATTATTTTTTACTTGATTTTATTGGTAGTAGTATTTTCCATATTTCAGGTATGAGTGATGAATCATTCCTATTGCATGTGTTGGGTGTAGACTCGATGAACAAAGATTCAGTAATCAGCCTCTCCCTCCACTTACCTAGATTACTTTTTAGAATTTTAACCCTCTCTGATCCTATTGGGTGGTTGTGCGTTAATGTGTCCATTGCAATTGTTGAGCTTTTTTCCAAATTACTTATCTTCTCGGGGTCAACCATTCCTACCTTAGCTAAATTCATATGTTCTGACAATCTGACTTTTGTAGTTGACTTCACAGTCATTGCATTCTGTAAATTATATAATTTTGTGTAATTGGGCCAACTGGGTCCTTTAACCTGAGTGTAGTTTGTAGGTCCCTGAGTGAGTTTGTAGGTTTGAATGCCACCCTAATTCCTGCTTTATATAGAATCCTACGTAGGGTCTCAGATGTCCCTTCTTTATATGGTGTAACTGTAGATGACTTATATTCTCTCTTATTTATGTTGATATTACTAGTTTCACAATTATTTTTATTTTGACCTTTTTCGAACTTTCTAATGAATTTTAAAGGATAGTTATTTGACGCCAACGCCTCTTCTACCTGTTTTACTTCATCATGATGCAATTGCATGCAATAACACACAACAGGATGGGAGAAGGTTAAAATTCTAAAAATTAATCTAAATAGGTGGAGAGAGAGGCTGATTACTGAATTCTTGTTCAGCGAGTCTACACACCCAACACAGCACTTGCAACAGAAGTGATTCATGACTCATACCTGAAATATGGAAAATACTACTACCAATAAAATCAAGTAAAAAATAATGGAACTATATAAATGAAGTAGGGAAGTCGTGTGAGCACCTTGATATGATTATGAGCGGCAATAAATTGTACTCGAAACGTGGTCATCAGTAAAATTTACTGTATAACAACACTGTGAGACTTTATCAAAACAAAAACTTACCCATAATGGAATTATACTCTACCGCCACAGTGCACAAGTTTTATTCTTATATCAATAAAAAAAAGAACAACACTTTTATCAACTAAAACATAAGCCACACAAGCATTAACAATAAATAAATTCATATGATCCTGTATTGTATATTATATGTATATTTTCAAATCAGTGTCATAATAAATCTCGAACTACTACTATATATATATATTTGTGTTCGAGGGATCTAGAAGCGGGAAAAGACAACAGCAACAAAGACAACATCAACAATAACAACAACAGAACTAGCAACAATAATGAAATAAAGAAAGAAAAAACGAAAAAAAGGGAGAGAAAAAAATCACAAAAAAAGGTTAATCACACTGTTATAATTGAGTCATAGTCATATTTATATATATATATATATATATATATATATAAAGAAAAAAGGTGAACTAATTACTTGAAACAATTTATATGTATATGTAAGAATGACAAGAGACAATTTCGAAAGAGTACTCATATTCCTTTGAAATGCAATCACATAGAGATGACAACAGCGACAGGGAGAGAGAGAGAGAGAAAAAAAGAACAAACGAACAAACAAACGAAAAGACAGAGGAAGAAGAAATCAACGAGAGGAGGAGATGAAATGTGCCAGAATAAAAAAAGAGGGATAAAAGCATAGCAACATACACGTAGGTAGACATTTGGAATTCGTTTTATGATGGATAAATGATAATAAAAAATACAACTGACTTGATAGCAATTATTATTGTAGTATATTGTAGACAATCACAAGCTGAAATGATAAAAATCACATACACACGCAGACATACCAAAGGTAGTCAGTCAAACAAGAGAAAATAAATGGAAAAGTTTTTTTCTAAAAACAAACAAACAAACAAAGTAGTCTTAAAACGACAGAAAATTTCTGTCCGACTCTTACTATGAACACACAGCAAACAGAGTGTGCTACAGTAAGAGGTAACGCAACAACAGAAGACAAATAACATATTCTTTTTACTGATTGACAATCTAAATGCATTTGATGATGAATATTATATTTCTTTCGCCTTTTTTCAGAGTAATAATTTGAATGAGAGAGAATGAATGAAAACAAATTAGATAGCGAAGGGAGAGAGAATTTCTTTTTAAATAAAACGCGAAATGTATATTATATTATGTGTCATTTAACTGAATGATTGAATTCAACCTGAGAGTAAAGGGAACGGGGGAGGCGGCGGCGACGGTTGGGTAGTGTTCATAAAAACATGTGAATAATTTTTATTTGTGATGGTAAATAAAAGTAAGTTGAAAGATTTGTATATGTAGAGTACAGGATAAATGAGATTACGTAATGAACAAAACAAATCAAGTTAACAGAGCATGAATTATATATATAAGATAACTCCTAATCAAAGAAATATGAATTAATGGTATATATATTATATATGGAATGAAATTAAATGTGCACAGGGAATCGGAATAAATTAATTCATCATTATAGTGATCAGCATCATCGCTGTGCATCACATATATAAAGTAAAGATGAACATTCCAGCACAGGTGTTGAGTAGAGAGAGAGCCAAGATCAAGTATAATTTGCCCTGCAAAAAAACATTGTTCAGATTATTTGTTCTATGAGTTTAACCAAATGAGATGATACAATATCTCTTGTACTTCGAATTGTTACACGATACATCTAAAAATAAAAAAAAAAACAACAAAAGGATACCAATAACTCATTATTTAAAAGAATATTGATTGAAGGAGATCATTGTTATTATTATTACCTTCCAGTGGATTATTCTAGGGGAATTTATGGGATTAATGAGAAAATTAATTGGTTACAGGATTTCATCATGAGCTGACATCGTTAGAGAACCATTGGAAAAACTGCACGGAGTACTGCCAGACAGCTGTTTCATCCCAATGGTTTCTGACTCTTCATCAGTACGCACTCACCACAGGACGTTCGAAACCAGTACCTTCCTGTTACAAGGCTAGAGAGCTCGTAGACCATTCAGCCACTGAGACCTGATCTAATGGCCAGTCCATGAATCCAAACTTCTGCCAATTCACGATATAGCACGACCACTAGCCAACGTTTTCGGCGGGTATTTGTCCTCACACCCGATCTGTTGCACCCTACTGGTCACGACTTCCCACTACAACATGAATAGAGCCAGTCACTAGTGAGCACCTCATTGATATTCAAGATGTATCCAGTACTCTCAGGCTTTCTAATGGTTCTCTAACTGATGTCAGCTCATAATGAAATCCTGTAACCAACCAATCAAGTTCGTACAAACCAATACTTGAAAAGAAAATGAATTGTTAAAGAATTCCAAACTAGAACGAAACATCTGTATGTAATGAGTGTTCCCTGGTTTTTAATGGTCTTCTAACTGATGTCTAATTGTGACACAATGTACTATTTCAATTTCACTGCGATTGACTTCATATAAAAATGAAACACATACACAAGCAGTAAGACAGTAGTGATTTAATAACTCAAATCTAATCTAAAATGGCGATGACTGTAGTCAAAGCGTTTTTATTAGCCGATGAAGCCTCCAACGAAACATGTTTCAACCAATTCCGCCGAATGAACGAAGTCTTCTTTAAAATCTTAGTTTAATTTTCAAAGAAAATCGTAGGAGTAATCACGTTAGATATAAATGTATATTTGCTTTACTTATTTCACATTTCTTTAATAGAGAGAAGAGCATAGAATACACGCTATTCTGGCAGTAATATAAAGCATAATAATGTCTATTCTGAGTAGTGGTTGACATACTACTCATAAAATCTAATGGTTTGATACACTACTTAGTTGCAAAAGCAACCATATGCTTCTAATTATTATCTACCTTTATTCATCAGATATCATCTAAAAATGAAATTTCAAACACCATAATAACATACCGACAATCGACAATTCAGCAATTGTAACAATCGAAAGTATGTTATACATGATTTCACCTTAAAATGAAAAGAGACGAATATGTATATCTAACAAAATATTCCACACAATTCTATCATTAAGAAAAAATAATAATAATTCCAAAAGCAAATACCTTTGACTGTGTATTAGGTTCCAGTCGAAGAAGTACACCGACTTGTTGACTGCTGGTGACAACAATGCCTGCACCAACAATATTTTGCGGGTTGGGATCAATACCATCTAGCAGACTGAATCCAAAGTTTCTAGTCTATGAATACAAAAAGGAGAACAATGAGAAAAGTGTTACGGATAATACCACCACCACCCTATTGATCTCGAAGGTAACAGTCAATGAGCTTTCAGGACCATCTTAGTAACTACATCTGTTATACATCTCGGATACTCTCGATTGCATGTTACTACTACTACTATTATGGGAAAAGATGCACTATCATATGAAAAAATATGACGAATCAGGTGTCGATATTACAGTTTGATACTTTTTTTCAGATACTCGAATGAAACTCACAGTTTACGATGAATAGCTAGTTTAATTGAATTTTTGATTTTCCCGTCGACTGATTGGACCGAAGTGCTCGATCTCAGGTTGACATGTCTGCTTCTTGTGCAGATGCTTCGACAACACCTGAGCATTTAGTTAGTATTTAATTGATGGCGTTTGAAACCATGGACACTGGGTTCCAGCCTCGGTGGGAACATCATCACTCACTGACAAATGAAGGTAAATCCAGTGACGAGTCCCAAATAGGACGAAATGCGCATCCTGGATTCCACTGTTAGTCACCATTCACCAATTAAATAGCTAGTTTAGTTGTGACCATAAACTGAAGCGGTGGTATTAATAGTGTTTACTTGAGAAGTACAAGTCTAAAGTAAGAATCGTAAGTAGTTGTGAGGACGATAAAATGCATGTAACTGGATAACATGTATGGGTTCAAAAAGCATATGAATCGAAATATAATTTCTGAATTGAATAGCTATCTATGGATAGTAATTGCCTGTACTAAAATTAATCATTGGTACATGTATTTTTCAGTCGTTATAAGCATCTGTATGGAAGACTTTTGAAAGGCATATAACAGCATAATGCACACCACTAAAAAATGCATAAGACTGCAGGTGATAAAAGGTGAATAAAAATAACTGAATACAAATTCATATACCCAATATACCCAAACCAACACTTGAATACCCAATAACTTGTTAGCCTCACTAAGCTCTTCTCAACAGCCAATGTGCACTTTATGGTAGAGAAGAATTCAACAATAAAAATCCTTCCAACTTAAATATATGCTTTATCTAGCATTATCCCAGATGACTAGACATGTTCTCTTTACCACCTACCACCGTCAATTATAAAAAACACTATTAGACCTAATGCATAAAAAACATATTTTAGGGGAGTTTTAGTGTCAACAAAATGTTATCTGCGACGAGAAATCAATCAGTAGAGAAACTAACTAGGATCGATTTTCGATTGTGTAAAAAAAACATACCAGTACTAACTGGATTATTACTATTATTTTAACCCTAGTACCAATGATATAGATATAGGTAGAGAGTTTGATGAACCTGTACGCATCAAAGGTAATTCTATCATTGGCTTCATTAAAACTATTTACTCCTAGTTAGTTTACACGAATGTAACACAACTGTTTAAAAGTTCAACTAACTAATAAAGTTTCAGTCTAGAATCCCTTAGTATCAGTAAAACACATATTAGATCAAATTCATAATAATATAGTGTGAATAACGCAGAAAAACTGGTCGAAGAAGCAGCCGGCGAAGACAGGACTCCAGGTGAACATAGACAAGACGGAGGTTATGAAAAAAGCCAACCAACCAACAACAACAACATCCAGTGACAGTCACCATCAACTGGAGGGATTTGAAAGAGGCTACTTCATTCACTCACTTATCTAGCATCGAGCATTGTCTCAACTACAGACAGTCAGAAGAGACGAGGATGTCAAATCGAGCGAGAATCGGGAAGGCGAGTGAGAAACACATCCATCAACCAACCTGAAACCAATCTGGAAAACCAATCTTCGTCACTCAGCCAGCATCAACAACAAAATTCAGTAGGATTTTCAATACAAACACATCAAGTCAGTCAGTTCTTCTATACGGATGAGAAACTTGGCAGGCGGGTCATAAAGAACAGGTATTTCCAACAGCCTGTTGCAGACCAGACCTTTATCAATAACTGTCTTCGCTCTATACTGAATATCCCATGGCTGGCCAGAAAGTATGGGAACAAACAAACAAGGCAAGAACCAATCGCCAGCCAACATATATGCAGGTGATAGTGGAGATGGATTGGACACTCACTCGGTGAGGAGGCCGCTGGCTGGGTGACATCGCGCGCGCGTCAGGCCATTTCTCGAGTGGAACCAGGCCGAAAGGGAAGCGGCGAGTGGGATGTCAGTGCAAGGGTGATATGGAGGAGATCGTGTGAAGAGGAGTTGAAACAGTATGGACTAACATGGATGCAGGTGAAAAGCACAATAGAAGACAGAAGCAAGTGGAGACGTGCAGTTGAGGCCCTATGTTCCACTAGGAACCTAAGAGAATAATAATAATAATAATGCAGACAGGTCTATTTCGAAACAAGCCAATAATAGTGACGACAGAAGTAAAAGCAGTAATCACTTTAAGAATAGCAACTTATTAATCTCGATGAATAACAACCTTTCAGGTAAAATGGAAGTATAAACACCCCAAGATGCTAAGACAAAGGTAATTCAAGAAATACTATCAATACTATCATCATCATCATCATCATCAGTTATAATGCTACATTCAATACATACGGATGATCCATTTACAAGATAGTTATAACTACAATGCACACACGCTCACACACATACCGTAGAACAACTGTGACTATACAACAACAGACAGATATGCAAATAAACAACCATCAGCTTAGTGAATTAATAATTAATTAGGTCACAAATTATACACAAATACAAATCGATAATGCTAAACATTTTACTTTAGTAGTTTGTAATGACTGTATATACACGACAACAGTTAGTTAATTTATTGTGACTAACTCTTTAGCTTCATACACACAAAGACTAGTAGTGGTCGAATTACATGATCACAACAACACAGCTTTGAATTGGATACCACAGCAATCGTTTGTTTTAAAAACTGTTAGTTAGTTAGTGAAAATTCACAAAACATGAATTTCCCCCTTTTTCATAGAATAATTACTATCATTATATATATATATATATATATATATATATATATATATATTATATAACCACTTCTAGGGCAGTAAATAAGATTACATTAAAAATGTATCTTCTGATTTTTGCCAAATAATTTATGTATTAAATACCATAATACTTTTATAGACATAACAGTTAAGATTTAAAATCAATACAGAATAATCCTGATAATTATGGAGTATTATAATGTGGAGAATAAATATAAATACACCTTAGTAAGCCAAACGTCTTAGTAGATAAAACATTTGGTTTCCAAATTATAGTTCACAAAATGTATCTTTGTCTAGTTATATTTCTCTTTCTCTTTCTCCTGAGGAGGGAAGGTTTCACATAATGCAGTAATCTGAAGTGGATATTGTAGGGTAACACAGAAATTGTGATCAAAAATACAGTCAGACATGTACGTAAAACTACCGGTCGTAACTATGACGAAACTAAGTGATTCTAAGTCTTCAAATGATAACAATGACAAATTACAGAAAACTGAAATAGGAAACATGCATGTGCACTCTTTATTTATTTGGTATTCGGTAACAGTAAAGAATAGACACCGATTTCAGACGACCTTGAAACTGCCAATCAGATTCTTCTGCGTGAAAAGTAGTACTTAATTTACAAAGAAGTGTATCACATAGGGTACATATCTCTAATATGCTACAAAAACTGGTGCCAGATGCTCATAGAAGTGGTTATAAACATATCATACCAATGTATTCTTTATTGCTCGAGCTTTAGCAGATACCGGTTGCATATACACAATATATTACTAAGGGAGAGCTTTGATTTAGAGAAGATTATTATTTATATTATTATTGCTCCCTTGGGTTCCTAGTGGAACATAGGGCCTCAACTGCACGTCTCCATTTTCTTCTGTCTTCTGTTATACTTTTCGCCTGCATCCATGTTAATCCATCTTTTTTCAACTCCTCTTCACACGATCTCCTCCATGTCACCCTTGGACGTCCCACACGCCACTTCCCTTTCGGGTTCCACTCGAGGGCTTGGCGTGCGGTGTCACCCAGCGGTCTCCTCAGCGAGTGTCCGATCCATCTCCACTTTCTCCTGCATATTTGTTGGGCGATTGGTTCTTGCTTTGTTTGTTCCCATAATTCCTTGTTGGTGATTTAGAGAAGAAAGTGTCTAAAAAACCGCCAATCATGTACGGCTTACCAACCTATACACATTTCCTCCTATAAAGTGGTTAAATCTGAATGCATAACCAGCAGTAACCCGGCAATACTTTTGCAGAGTCATTAACCCTCCATATATGCATGTTTTATTCCTCCCTAACAATACATTTTCCACAGAGAAGTCAAAAACCGAATCTAGGAGATATTTTCAACGAGGATTATGACTAGCAACCATTTGTAATACTGAACTATCTGACTGGTCAAACCTAGGCTATTTGATTTTGGTGCCTTTTGTTTACTCTCTTGCCTGGTATTCAGAGAAATACGGTCTCCTGGAAACGTTAATAATGTGGATGTAGTAACGCCTTAAAAGATTTTGCCTCCCTTGAGTTTTTCAGTACTATGTTGAAAATTAAATTTTTCAGTGAATAAGATGACTTAAACAATAGTTAGTTGTTCTGGTGGTTAGTTCTCTAATCTAGTAGCTCAAGAGAGGCGAAAGCATGCAAATGATATCCACATTATTATGTCGTGAAATCCAACTGGTTTAATCAACTTTACATCTAATAACCTGTTCTTTGAAAAATAACTCCTTTATTATGTGGATATCCACAAAATAATAGATAGCAGTTTCAAGAAAACGTTATGAAAGCCCATGTCTTCACTGAAATTTCAACGTGGAAATTCACACAAAAGTGCAGCAATTATATAGTTGTCACATTTTAATAAGCACACGAAGGTAGAGAGAGAGAGAGAGAATTAAAAGAAGTTATAATGAACAAAAATGTACAACAGAAAGGACATATATGTACAAACACACACCAAGAATTGAGCTTCAGTTGCTCACTCCTGTAGAATAATATTTTGATAGTGTTATTATACAGCGAGTGTTTCCAACATAACTACAAGAAAAGATTTAGGGAGAATATACTAGTGTAATACGCACATAGTATCGAATTGCAGTCACACCTCAACTTCATCGACTTCGAAAAGACCTTCCACAGTGCAGCGTTGACCCAGAAATGATTTGGAAACTACTTGAACACTACGGCGTGCAGTGCCTAAATCTTTATCGACCTCATTCAGAAGCTTAATGACAGTATCCCTTGTCAGGTGATCCACAACGGAAAACTCACTGAGGCGTTTGAAGTACACAAAGGAGTGAGACAAGAGTGCCTCTTATCATCAATGATATTCTTAATTATTGTGAACTGGATTATGCAGAAGACTGTACTTTGGGGGTGAGAAGAAAGGAATACTTTGGACCGCCGATAGGAAGACTCTAAAAGATCTGCCTCCTAAGTAGAAGATTGCGGGTTCGGGTCCCGCCGTGGGTGCGGCTTTGTGTCATCGGTGGCACAGTGGTTAGGACTCTCGCCGACCATGCACATGGTCCGAGGTTCGAACCCCCGCCGACGCACACCTGATATCTATGGTCGGCCTGCAAAATTTGGGCTACCGATATCCATGCTGAAAATTCCATACATGTACCAAAAATACAGTGTGGAATCAAGCTGTAAATCAAAAAAGAAAATATAAAAAAAATATATTTCGCGTGTGGATGATTTGTGTTTAATGTCGCACAAAACTGAAGAACTACAGGCCAAAACCAGCAAGCTGACGGAAGAGTTAGACAGTGAAGACGGGACTCCAGGTAAACATAAAGAAGAGGGAGGTGACGAAGATAACCAACCAACCAAAAGCAGCGACAACTAGCACCAATCACCGTCAATGGGAGATATTTGACAGAGATTACTTCCTTCATTTACCCAACCGGGAAGCACAGTTTCAACTACAGGCGGTCGGAACGGATGAAGATGTCAAAATCAGTCAGAACCAGAAAGGCAAAACACGCCTTCACCAACCTGAGAGCAGTTCAGTAATCTTCTGCAGTCCAGCTCAGCATAAAGAACAAGATTCGGATTTCCAGCACACATGTTAAGTTAGCTATCGCTTCCATACAGGTCAGAAACTTGCACCGCGTATCACGAAAACGATTTCCAGCAGAATTTTACCAATAGCTACCTTCGCCAACTCCATACTGAAGACCAAATGGCCGGTGGAAAGAATTAGCAACAAGAAACTCTGGCTGGTAACAAACCAACCAAGAACCGATCACCCAACAAATGTGTAAGAGAAAGTGGAGATGGATCGAACACACGTTGAGAAGGCTGTCAAATGACATTGTGCGCAGTGCAGGCCATTGCTCGAGTGGAATCGCAATGAGGAGCGACGCGTGTGTCGTCAGTGCAAGGCTGGCATGGAGGAGATCATGTGAGGAGGAGGTGAGAAATTATGGTCTACTGTGGTCCCAGTTGAAGAGGAGCGCAGAGAATAGAACAAAGTGGAGATCTGTTGTTCTACTCGAAACCCAAGCGAATAATAATAATAATTATACGAAAAAACGTTACGAGCATGAATGAGCCTTCTAAATCAAATATTAAATTAACTTTTAAGAAGAAAGGAATAAGAGCACCGTTTTTAGAAGGATACGCTGCTAGATTACTGCCGCGGATATAACCGGACCAAATGAAGTATTGCACCAAAATGTTTAAAAAATCCACTAATAAAACACTACAGGTACTTATTAACAAATTACAACTAAAATAACAAGAAAATTAACTTTATTGATAGTGATTTCCAATACGAAAAAAAAATCAAAGAAGGAGTATCGAAGAGCAACTATGGAGAAGATACAAGAGAATCTAGTAACCATCGAACAAATCTACAAAGATTGCAGTGAAATACAAAAGAGATGAACAAAGAGTGGAAATCAGACCACAAGCAAAGTCAACAAAAAATCAAATAAGTAGTAGGAAAATGGACAGACATATAAACCAAATTATAAGCATCGGTTGTACATACATAAGTGAATGTCTGAATAGCAGTATTTTGTTATAAACACAACCTGATGAGGCATGCAGATTGACTCCAAAGGGATAGACGAATTATATGGATTTAACAGTACCACTGTTTAAACTAATTACTAAGATATTTGAACAATCAATTAATATAATCGTAAAGGTACAACAATAAGTAAGCGTAATTTTGTATATTCGAAGATTTACGCAGTCAAGTGCCAATCCACTTTATTTTCTATTTCATTCTCGTTAAACTTGAAAAAGGCGAAAATACTATTGGTCAGAGATTTTTAGAAATGAATGCATTTAATTCTTATGCTGTCTATATTGTTTTGCAGAAGAAATGTAGTGATGAAGCAGCTCCAACGCTGAGATGAACTCAAAGACACTGTTTTGAAGATTTGCTTTTTAAATGTATACTGCACATTTAGCACTAAGGAACAGTAAAACTTCATTACAAATAATTCTATCATGTAGAAGACAATATATTAGTTATTTAATTGAATTTTAGATTTTTCCGTCGATTGATTGGACCGAAGTGCTGGGTCTCGGGTTGACATGTCGGCTTCTTGTACAGATGCTTCGACGATGTCTGTGCATTTAGTTAGTATTTAATTAATGGGTGGTGACTAGAAGTGGAATCCAGGATGCGCATTTCGTCCTATATGGGACTCGTCATCTGCATGTACCCACATTCCGCAGTGAGTGATCAGTGAGCCTTGGTAAGAACATCATCACTCACTGCGGGATGCAGGTACATCCAGCCAACGAGTACCAAATAGGACGTCATGAGCATCTTGGATTCCACTGCTAGTCACCACCCACCAATTAGATAACATATCATATTTTACACGATGAGAATTAAGGGGGAAAAAGGTTATGATAAGTGACTTACAATATTTCTCATTGATGAAGTTTCCATTGGAAAACGAGATGGATTAATCTTTTGACATTCTTGGCCCGGTCTGAAATAAAGTAGCATTAAAAACTATCATCAGCAATACTGAACAAAAATGCATTTATCTAGTTACGTGTATATAAATTAAACTACATGGCAGGGAACGATTTCAAAATGAATTAACCTTTTTTACAGTTTAAGTGTTTGTGCACAAACTAGTGATGAAAATATGAACTGGTTAGTTCACATGGTGACCACTAGTATAGATGACAGAGGGTTTGAAACAAAATCGAATGTTAAATACCTTGGAGTGCATATTTCCCCTGATCACCATTCCTGGTCTTCCCACATCATGTCAGTTCCCAAAAATATTTTTTGTCTAACTTTCTATGTAAGGAAGTTAAGACGATCTGGTATTACTCAGTCTCTACTTTCTAAGTTTGCTAATTCTTGTATTCTATCTATCCATTTTTTATAGCTCCTCTCTAATCTTTCCTGTGCAATTAAAGAAAACTAGTTAATTGGCGGATGGTAACTAGAAGTGGAATCCACGATGCGCATTTCGTCCTATTTAGGACTCGTCATCTGGATGTACCTGCATTCCCCTGAGTGATGATGTTCCCACCAAAGTTCGAATTCATTCAATGCCCATAGATTCAAACGCCAAAGGGTTATCCACTAGAACACTTGGGCCGTCTCTTGTGAAACGGGTCATATTAATTATTTAATTCAATTTTAGATCTTCCTGTCGATTGATTTAACCGAAGTGCTCGGTCTCAAATGTTAGCGCATCGTGGATTCCACTGCTAGTTACCATCTACCAATTAACTTCTAATTACATGCCCAGACATCGTCGAAGCATCTTCACAAGAAGCTGACATGTCAACCTGAGACTGAGCACTTCGGTCCAATCAATCGACGGGGAAATCTAAAATTGAATTAAATATTTAAGAAAGACTTTGTTATGCTGAGAAGGGCATTATAGAAGACTGTATGCTCGGATGACTAAGTATAAAAACTCGACGGTACCTTGTTTGGCATACATTTTAGTGATGAGAAAAGTGTGTAGGGTAGGACATTACCATCTTACTGTGGAGCTCTAAGTAAACAGCCTACTTTCTTTTCATTATTCTATTATTGTTAATATTTTCACTTAATTTTATATTCATATTCTTAATGAACAATTTATTATCAATGTAAATGCTGTTTTAATTATGAAACCTGCAATGAGATAGTTAGATGCGATACTGTACTACACACACTACTACACACTGAAAATCCATATTTGTACCGAGAATACTGTTTGGAATAAAGCTAAGATTATATTACCATTAAATCAAAAAGAAAACGCACATTCTTAAACAGTATTATCAAAACAATCTCATTATACTCCTAATTAACAGTGAAATTTTCATTGATTTTCTGGGCAACTTTAAAATAAAATGAGCTGTTAGCATATTTCATGAATGAAATAGTCACCTTTCTAGGCTATTCATGGTACACACTAATAACAAAAACTTTTACTTAAGCTACAAATTGCATGGAGGATTTCATCATGAGCTGACATCAGTTAGAGAACCACTGGAAAACCTGAGAGTACTGGACAGCTGTTTCTTCCCAGTTTGGAACTCTTCATCAGTGCGCACCCATCGGGGTTCGAAACCAGGACCTTCTGGTTACAAGGCCAGAGAACTCGCAAGCCATTGAATCACTGGAACCCGATCCAATGGTCCTTGAATTCTAACTTCTGCCAACTTCGAGTCCCAGTGGCTCAATTGTCTACGAGCTCGCTAGCCTTGTAACCAGGAGGCCCTGGGTTCGAACCCCGATGGGTGCGTACTGCGAAACATCTGTCCAGTACTCCCAGGTTGACCAGTGGTTCTCTAACTGATGTCAGCTCATGATGAAATCCTCCATGCAATCAAACAAAATCCCTAACAAAACCAATGCTTGAAAACTAAGCAACAAATCTTGATTATTTTAAGGTCTCTGTGTATATTGTGTGTGCCTTGAACACATTCTTTTATCTGTTTTCCTACCACTGTTTTACCACTCAGACAAACCAACGATTCGGCATTAACAAATGGACACGAAAAAAACACACACAGACGACAGGCACAATCTAAAGGTTAGTAAATTTAAACTTTCCAAAAGTTTCAACTCGTAGTCCACCTAACACCTAACTAGGTAAATTTTACACCTGAAATTAATACAAATGTAAAATGTCTTCTTGTGTATGTACAAAAAAACAACGTACTGAGATAATAATTTCCATCGTGAAAAGAATGTTCCTTGATCCATTTCTGCAGGCTGAAGGAATTTGTTTAATGTGATTGGAAGCATTAGTGTATAGTGCTGTTTTGAATCATCACATCTGAAGGAATTAGAAATGTTTTAAAATTACAATTATAAAAATTAACTACTAATCAATGCACATGTAAGTCGACAGAAGTACACACTAAGTGTACTGACATTAAAACTATCAAAGAAATAATTCGTCACTGATTTTTCTAAAAACGGAAATTTGCTTATATAACACTGACTGATAGGACAAATAAATGTGTGAAGATATCTACACAAATACCACTTGTATTTATATATCAAAGTAAAATTTTGAATAGGAGTACAGCAATCAGCATTTTTGTCTCTATCTGTTTGGATGAAGCACCAGAAATCCACTCACTTCTAGCTTTAATTTAACAACCGCCTTTACCACTTTTTTGATGGTCAAGTGTATATTATGCCAGAATTCCTCAGGATAAGTCTTGCTTAACTACATCTTCCTTTATAATAGAGACTTTGTGTTCTTATCAAACGGGGTAGATATGTGTACAAATCATGGAATGATGTAGGTGGGTATTCCATGAGGAGAGGTACTCCTCTACCGGTTGTACTAATCCATAGCTTACATGATCTGTTTCAGTCTATCGTTGATTTGACGATGGAGTTCACCAGGTAAGGTAATATGTCTCATGTTTGAAGTTATTGCTGACCAAGAACAGATGATATATGTGTAAAACTTGGTCAATGTGGTAGTAGGTAATTCCATATTAGTTTGTTTTTTAGATGTATCAAACAGTGAAACAGTATTATTTACTGGATGACGTTTCGAACAAAATTTATTCGTGTTCATAATCACTTCATCAATTATAATCACACAACGTCGAGACTTGAGTTTCATAGTTTTCTTTGTCATCTCCTATTTGTCGTCGTTGGGGTAGTAGAATTTTCCAGATATCTGGCTGGACAGGTGTTGAATCATTCTTATTACATGTATTCCCTGTTGGTTGATTCGATAAACAAAGCTTCTGTTATCAATCTTTCCCTCCACTCTGTGACATTAGATTTTAAAACTGACATCCTATCCCATCCTATTGTATGTTTGTGTGTGATTGCATGCAATGCTATGGCTGAACTATTCACCAGGTTTCTTATCTTATTTGGGTCAACCAATTTAGATTTAGTTAGGTTTTTATGTTCGGCTAGTCTGACTGCCCCTGTTCTACTAGTTTGACCTATGTATTTGACCTGATAATCATTGCAGGCAGGGTATTAGATAAACTAAATTGTTTTGTTTTATTGGCTCCACTGGCAGGATCCCTCAACCGACTAAGCTTGTTTCTAATTGAGTTTGTGGGTGGTTTGAATGCTAGCCACTTTTATTCCTGCCCGCCTTGTTAAGAATTCTACGTAAGACTTCCGAGGCTCCTTCCTTGTATGGGATTACTACTGATGATTTACATTCCTTATTGTTGGTGTCGTCATTAATATTATTATTATCATCACTATTATTATTACCATTATTATTATTATCATTATTATTGTTATCATCATTATTATTATTATCACTATCGCTATTATGATTATTTATTTTATTTTTACATTTACTTACATATTTCTTGACTAATTTATCTGGGTAATTATTAAGTTTCAAGGCTTCTTTTATGTGTATCACTTCCTGTCTTAGATTTTCCTTGGTACTACTTAGTTTTTGTGCTCTGTCATTTAAACATTTCACCAATTCTATTTTTACTGGCATAGGATCGGATGATCGGAAGTCCGAATATCTGTATGAGTGTGTGGGTTTTCTGTAAACACTAGTGTTTAACTTCCCTTCTTTTTTTCTTTTTTACGCTGCAATCTAACATTGGAAGCTCCCCTTCCTGACTTTCCAATTCATGAGTGAATTGAATCGCCTCTACCTTCGAGTTGATGTGCTCGAAAAATCTATCCATATCTTGTGTTCTAAGTACAGTGAATGTGTCATCTACATACCTCCACCATACTTTTAGGGTGGGAGTGAACGTTTCAATCTCTATGTTTTCCCACCTATCTGTGAATGTATCTGCTACAACCGGGGATATTGGCGATCCCATGACAACTCCCTCAGTTTGTTTGTATATATTCCATTGGGATTTAAATACTGTGTAAGTCAGACATAGCTGCACTCCCAGCATTATGTCCTCAAGTGGCACTTTCGTCCTAAGTTTCAGTTCTTGGTCAGAAATGAGTTCGTTTTTGACTATCTCTATAGGCATATTTATTGATATACGTGTATATAAACTGACAATGTCAAAAAATAACCATTTTCTCTTCATTATCTAATTTTAAATTATCTAATCTATGTTTTAGTTCATAAAAAAATTTGCTAATCTAGATTTCGAGTGGCTTTAAAGAACAGATGATTATCTAAACAGAATTGTCTAAGACGATCACCATTGTTGTTGTTGTTTAGTCCAACTACGAATGTAATTTTCTAACTGGCACAGCTTCCCATTAAGTAACAGCTGTGAAAATAGTAGTTACGAAAATTATCCTGAAGACTCGACATTGCGACTTACTAGGTAAGATAAAGTTTTAGCGTGTCTTAGTTTTAGTAGTTATGAAAATTTTAAGACTGCTGGGATACAGTAGTATATGGTAATTAGTCCTTACTCCCCCCCTACATACGTTTCCTGTTCATATTACCATACTAGTATGCATGAGTGTAGCTAAAAAACTGAGCGTTTGGGTCAAACAACAACTTTTGCACCACCATCATTCAATGTAATCAGTGAATATCTGTCCTAAAACGTACACTGGTGAACCTCATACATGGCAACTCCTCATGACAACTTCATAATAAAAATGCTTGTTCAAGGCTTTTAGATTTTGAGATAATTACTCTCAGTTGAGTTCAACTTATGATAAAATCAACTCATGCATGCATCTTTATAGATTTAACACCGCAATAAGGATTATTGTTTGATAAGTAAGAAAATAAATCCAAATTTATATATGATAGAGAAGATTTGTAGCTCAGGTGGATAATTTTGGTGTGGGTTTGTTCTCTGAGCTGATCAATCAATAGACACATCGAGATAGACAAAATTTATCAACCAATAAGAAAGAAACTTCACACACAAAGGGTCAAAGTTCAAGTCACAGAAACAATCAGTTCCAACACAAGTAACCTAGAAGGTGTGAAAACACACATAAACAACCAATCACGTCCAAGGTCACCAGGAGGAATGATTAATAAACTCGTGGAGAAACCTAAAAGCTCACTTCAAATTGAAGTATGCGCTGAAGATGTCACCCAGTAAGGTGATGAAAGCTTCGCAAACTAACCATCCAGCTCAGAGAACAAAACCACACCAAAATAAATCCAAATTATTTGTTAACTAGTAATTAACTATAGGGTGATTCTTTCACTTTACAAAACTGATAATAACAACCAATAACAATGGATAATATTTATACAACAAAGTGATGATGAAACCCACTTACAAGAATGAAACATCTAGTTTTACTACTTCTGTGAAAGGACGTAAACACTCAACATTCAATCCTTGTTGAACTTGTGTTCCTGCTTCCAATCGATCAGGTCCAGGTTGAAGTTCAATTGATATAGCCTTAACCATTTCGTTCACATCCATTGCATCTGGACAGGTTACTTGAGTACAGAATACAGTGAAATGATGTGGAGACTTATTCCCATAATATACACCCAAACGACAATACTGTCCACGAGATTCCATACGAATACCGATACGAATAAGCGAATTTTCATATAAAATAGCATTATGTCGACTAAGAAAGCTGAAATAGGAAGTAGACTAATACTCGGTATTCTACAAAAACGATGAAGGCTTTTGTTACAGCATTTTACAGGTAAACATAAATGAACAATATTATGCACATATCTTTATATAATCAATAGACATTACCTTATTCGGGTTATAAAACAATAATTATGATAATTTTACTGACACGTATCAACTTTTATAAGCAGTCGTATAAAGAAGTACATATGCATAGAATCGACATGGTTATAGAAGATACATGATCAAATTTTACCTAACATGTCTATATACACTAAAGCACGATTGATAAAATCAGGATTGATACAGATATGGTTCAGTTCACAACTATGCAGTTTTACAAATTAACCACAGCTCTGAAAACAGTAAGAAGGGGAAAAATTTAGAGGTATTTATGTTTTTCTTTAAATTCTTAAAAACCTGAGGTCACCATAATCCCTAGCATATAGTACTTGTGCATTACCCAATTTGTTGAATCTAAGTTTTATGGTTACCAGTACATGTTCAGAAAGATAAGACTGACCTTAACATTAAACTATATATGTTAATTAAGAAGTCTATAACTTTGTATTTCATTGTTATTTCTCAACAAACCTAAACATCATAAGGTCTAAGCACCCGTTATTAAGTCACCAGTGTTTGTATAGTGACTGACTACAACGGCACAGTTCGTTGCAACCAAAAATGTTCAGAATAGTCAAAGATTTGATGATACTATTTATTGTGTGGTGTGGTGGGAAATGAAGGGAAACTTATTTTGTCCAAACAATGTGACCGTAATGCAGCTCACTAGATAACATTAGGAAATTGTGCACCCTAATTAGTCAAGGCAATCAAAACAAATTTAGTCAAAGTGCATGAAAATCATGAGAGCGCTATGAAAAAGCAGTTCACACATTAATTGGTTAAAAGCATAATAAGCAACCGCTACATCTAACGAAGCACAATTGAAAACTGTTAAACTGATGGATGAGATTTGCAAAGTGGACTGTTCACTGACAAAAAGTCACTAGGTGATACAGGATTTTCACTTTAGTGCAACTTACTACACGATCTTCGACAGGCGATATTCACCTTTATTATTTCGTACTTCGTGTATAGTATAAAATTACTAACAAGTTCCTCAGTACTTCTAGTTATAAGTCAATTTATTGTTGAAAGATATTCATAATTTGAGTGGAGCCAGTGCCTTCCATGGCTAAACCGCACTTCATCAGACAGCACTACATTGTATCACCCCCCTGTTTGTCAACAAACCGCTAATCATCACACTAGAAAATCAAAAGTTGGCTTTGAAACAGAAAGATTGCAAAAGCATTTCTGAAAGGAAGCAGTACACCGTCTACAATGGAAAGTCCTCCACTACCTCACTTACTTTAGCTGGTGTTCCTCAAGGTGCTGTTCTTTCTCCCTTTCTGTTCTCGTTTTTCTTACATGACTTGCCTCATTCTGATGTAGCCACTTTTGTTAAGTATGCCGATGACCTCTCGGTTTCTATGCCTGTCAACTCTCAGTCAGATTGTTCCAAATTAAATAGCTTTCTGTCGGAAATTAGTCAGTGGTCCTCTTCAAACGGACTTAAGCTTAATCCGTCTAAATGTCAGGTAGTCAATTTCACTTTCAGACGTAAATGTGACCTACAGCAACTAGTTAGCTCACATGGCCCCACTCTCATTGACGGCACAGAGGTTGAAAATACATCTTATGTCAAGTACCTTGGGCTGAGTTTTTCCACCGATCTTTCCTGGTCTTCCCACATCTTGCTAGTTACTAGAAAGATGTTTCGCTTAACGTTCTACATTAGGAAATTTAGGCAGTCTGGTATAAAGCAGTCTTTGCTTTCTCAGTTTGTAAATTCTTGTATTCTACCCATCCTCCTTTACTGCTCCCCATTAGTCTTTCCTGGACTACTTAAGAAAGACTTTGCTTCGCTGAGAAGGGCACTAAAAGCTGTTAGTAGGGCAAGTGGGATATCGTTAAACCAACTGGTGAACACTATTGTAGATAGACATATAATGTCATGTAAGAGACTAGCGAATACAATATTGTCGGACCCCGAGCATCCTCTCTATACGCATCTATCTCCTTGCATTTCATCTGGAAGAACTAGAAGCAGCTATAGGAGGCTATATGCTAGGACTACCAAATACAAAAACTCCACAATACCATATCTGGCACAGCTGTTATGTGATGAGAAATCCGTTAGGTATGACACGATAAACTTACTGCAGCACTCTAACAAATAGTCTCATTAGTTTTTGTTTTCCTTTCCTCGTTACTACTACACTGTTGTTCTCATCTACTACCACACATCAACTTTATGTTTCAAATCCTGTGGTGCATTGTTTGAAATGAAATACTCTACGCTGTTTGTTTTTTTTCTTAATTTTTAATATTTATTTATTTTATTTATTTATAACTTATTTATTTTATTTTTATTGATTTTTGATTTTTAAAAATCTTATATAATTTATGAGGTAATTAGATGCAATATACTGTAATGCACGCTGAAAATTCCATACCTGTACCACAAATACTGTTTGGAATAAAGCTGTTATTATTATTATTATCATGACAAAATATAATTGGTTAAAGTGGTATAACAACAAACTAACACACATTAGAGCACTCCTAATACTACAGAAATACTACAAATCAATTGAAAACATACTTTACGAATTCTTTATGATTCATATACTGATCGTCACCAGCATGAAGTAAGTTGTTAATATCTGTGGTCGCCATACCATTACCCATTATATCAACTAATAGGTTAGATGCATTCGATTTTGCACGAACCTCGCTGTTAGCACTACCGAGGTTGCCGAAATTCAATAAATCCGCTTCTCCACCAGTATCAGTAGCATTTATATGGTTACTATCATTGTTGATCTGGAAATAAGTACACAAAAAAAAAACACTGATTCCGAAATAGTTAATTAGGATTAATATAAATTGAGAAATATTGTGAATATATCAGTCTGACTGACTTAGAGGAATGCTATCGCCGAGAAAAAAAAAGATAGCCAGCGATGGGTAAAATAATCCCACGCTTGCCGTAAATCTACACCACCGAGGCACATCTGAGCATTCATTAAAATGTTATGTTATCAATATCTCCCTCACTACTTTTTCCTAAGTATATATTCATTCACTTTCGCTAATAAGTGTACATTGCCCTCAATTTCCTACTTTGCAATAACTAATCTCCAGTCTACAGAATAGCAAATCTATTAAGAGCTTAAGACAGAAGTCAAATACTCCTCAGTTTTCAGAAGTCCTTTAGCTTAGATTATTATTTTGGCAAAAAAGAAAACTACCAGGAGACCAAGCAGCTCCCAACAGACTGCTAGAATCAATATTACTCTAGCCTTTTAAAAATAGCTAATGGTATTCTTCTCCTTACTTAGTTTAATATGTGAGAAATGAGTATATGGAATGTAAAAAAGTGATGATTGCAACTATACTGCACAGAATCACACAGAATTTGGTTTTGGTAAACCAGTTATACTAGCATGAATGATTTAAGTGTGAATAGGAAAATATATATTCAGGGACAATTCTCTAGGGAAATAAATATACGACATACTAAGTAGTAGTGGTGTTAAAACAGGCGGCAACCAGTGGGATACTGAATGCATTGGAATCATTAATTGTTGCATCAATCAGACTTTGCGAAGTACAATAGTCGATAATCAAATAAGAAATATGACTCATCTAGTTAGTACAACAGTGAACAGAATTATAAGATTTGTGTGAACTAGACACATATAAGCTACACTAATGTACACACTATCTAGTCATAAATACTACACTGAACAAAAAATAAAAATTTTAGTCATAAATGAGTAATAAAATGTCTAAATGATTTCAATGGCTTATTTTTATCAACATTCGTATGTGCATGTGTATTAGAATACGGTAAAATAAACACCAAACAATAAAACTGAATAAAATTATTCATAATTAGCGATGAGGATTGCTAAAATTACACTACTATTGAATTCATCAACCAATATGTAGTGAATAATTACGAATATGTTGTGTGGCACATGTTTTTTTTGTATCAACAAGGATTGCATGGACAGGGGAAAGTTTTGAAAATCTGAACACTAGGCTAATGTTTCTCCAGTCCTAAAATCATTTGTGATTCTTTAATTCATGTAACCAGACAATAGGAACACTGTCCATCCTTATTAGTGTTACATTTCGAAAGGTTTAAATGGGGAATGTGAAGCAGTTGAAAAGGTTGATCAGCATATATTATGCATGACTCTTGAATTATGTAGTTACAAGGTAGGCATGTTTGAATACAAAATACAAACGGATATTAACATACTGAAAATATGCATGAATTTAGTGTGAGAATGTGGATTGTTAGGACAAATACCAGAAACTACTGGTCAGATTTCGACCTTTGAACTACGTCTATAGCCTTTTTATTTCAATGAAGACAGAACAGTTTACGTTGTATCACCTGCACTCTCAACACTTTATTTGTGTGAAGAAATCAGTCTTCAACAGCATCGATTTCATAGTTACTCTAGATCAATAAGTGAACCCGTGTGACTACTATTAATCCAGAATAATAGATAGATAGTTTTGAACAATGTCAAGGAAATTCATTCCAGAACTAACATAAAATTATTTGGATAATCGCCATTCCACAATCTCTGAATCCCATGCGTAAATCTAAAATCCGTTGCAAATGAACTAGAAATGCAGTAGTTTGACTGCATTTCTCTGTATTACTACTCGTCAGACTGCCAAAAGCCTTCTATTTCCCTTCCCATTGGATTGGAAAACTAATAGGGATGCGTTGTATGAGACAATAAATATCCAGACCATGAACGCTTGAAATTTCCTGGAATACTTTGAGCACTGAACACCCCTGTGTTTTGGGGTTTTGTGTCACTTAAGATTCGAAACACGTTGTTCGCCTACACCTAGACTATGTAACATATAAGAGAAACAACAGTATGATCGATATTACATGCGGCACATAGACCGCACGAAATTTAACTGCTTAATCACCCATCGGATAAGAATTAACGTACTATATATCACATTACACAATACTACGTAATACAATCGGACAATAGTTCCTCCAATGCCTATCACAAACAAAATAAAGTGGAAACATCATTACGGCTATTAGTGAAACACCGTCTGAAATAGATAAATACGCTAATAGACATAATTTGTATTACGTATTTGACCAGAAATCTCTCAAGCAACAAACTTACTCCGTTTACGAGGGTATTTATCATCTAAAAACTGCTACATTGAAACTGTTATTTCAACTACAACTATAGAGATATGATATACATCGAAAGAGATTTTCTATGAAAAGCATACGAAATTTTTGGCAGTAAATTAATAATGTTAACGAAAGGAAAAGAACTCACTTTAGCTGCATTCTGAGTGTGACCTTCTCCGTGTGCCTCAGATTTAGATACATTTCCATCACCTGTAGGATTTCTAGCTTTAAGTTTAGCCAGAATACTAGACTGCCGTTCAGGAAATGGTGGCATTTCCTCCAATACGGTAGCCTGAGATGAAAGGCGAATACAACATCAGTTTACCATAAGAAACGATTGAGAAGTGAACAAAAATTCAATAATACCAGTAGCTTAAATATATTATTACTGCCTAATTAAATGCTCAAGATGCAGATGAGGGAACTGAATATAGTTACCACTGATATCGAATTCAAAATTTGGGCGTTAACTCAAGAGATATATCTATTATTCATGCTAAATCTGATGCCAGGAGTAACTAAAACCCAGTCTGAACCGGTGAAAGTCGAGTGCTTCAACCGGTTTTCCGAACAGATTACGTTGTCAAGATTAAACCTGATGTGCATATATCTATTTTATTTTATTGAGATGATATACAACAAATGGAAACAAAGTATTTATGAATGTTTATATTCTCGTCTTAAAACGACAGGGACAGTTATCTTTTAACAACCTCTTTTCTTGCAAAGCAGGCTATTATTTATTTTCTGTTCATATTCTATTGACATATATGGGTTTCAGGCCAGCAGCGAATTTAAATCAAACTATATCCAACTAACATATCATAATCATTTACAAAAATAATACAATAGTTGATTTACCCAATACAATCGCCTCACGTACTTTGGTTATGAATTACACTCATGGAACATCCAACTCCCTGAGCCTAAATAAACTGATTACAGTTTCAAGTTATGAGTGACTGTCTCAAAGTCAAGAGAATGAATGGATGGCTCACATCTCAAGACTGTCCAGCAAATCTAGGACACAATAACTCTTCGTCCCCAAAAGTTATGACAGCATTGATTATTATAATTACTATTAGCAGCAGCATAGTACATAGCATAGTACAGTATTTTCGAACTGCAGTTAGCTTTATACTAAAATTAATTTTCCCACTTTCAAAGACAGGATGGAAACACACAAACAAAATGCCTCACTGTTGAACTATAGGATACAACTGTCATTGTACACAGTCAAAGAGAATAAGCTAGCAAAAGATTATTAACATCTTAGTAGTGTTAAATATCATATGTACATATATACATATTTCCCTTCTTTTTTTCTTTTGATCTATGTTGTTTTATTATTATTGTGTGGCACATCCTTCTTGGTGCCATATTGTACCAGGTTTTTATGCGTTTAAATAAAATAATACATGTTAATAATGAATAATAATTATGATTAATGACGTTCAGTGCTAGGTAAGGAGGGAAATCAACCGACGAGGCTGTGAAATTACATCGACTGAGATGGTTAGGATACGTGTTACAAATTCCTAGCCATCGCCCTCCTCGACTGACAGGCAATGTTAGCTGACAGGATGGATGGACGCGACGTTCGACTATCGACCAAAGGGCGGGTGTACTGCTCATCAGTCCGCTCCGTCCTCCTTTATGGTTGTGAGACCTGACCACTCAGAGTGGAAGACATGAAAAGCCTGGCTAGCTGTCTTTGATCATAGGTGCCTGCGCTCTATTTCCCGTGTAAAGTCTCATAATAAGGTGAGCAACATTGAAGTTAGGCGTCGAGTTCTAGGTAAACAGGGGAAATCAATCGACGAAGTCGTGAAGTTACAAAGACTGAGATGGTTAGGACATGTGTTATGTATGCCAAGCCATCGCCTCTCTCGACGAGCAATGTTAGCGGATATAGGGTCAGGCTGGAAAAAAGCTAGCGGCGGTCAAACAAAAACTTGGCACCAGTCAATCAAATCCACAACAGTTGGTCTAAGCCACGTAGGAAGGTGTAGACTTCCACCAGGCTGGGGTCCTCGAGACGGTAAAAATCAATGGTTGGAAACAATTGGTGACATGGCTCAAAATCGTTCTCTTGTGACCTATGATCTCCAAGGAAACTATATTTTCTTCGTTATTACTATTCCTTTGTCTCACACCTCTGTTTACTGTCTCTTATCTGCATTTCTCCTACTTTCTTCTCTTGGTTTGTGTGCTACACGGAGTGTGGCGACTTGAACTTCCGCACATTTGTGCAAAGTTCTATGTCGAAAACAGACAGACAGAGACAGGATGGATCAGGTTGGAAAAGAGCCAGTGGTGGTCAAAACAAAACATGACCTCATCAGTCAATGAAATCCACAACAGTTAGTTTAAGCTAGCTACGTAGGAAGGTGTAGACTTCCTGGTTGGGATCTTCGGGACGGTAAAAGCCAATAGCGGCTGGAGACGATTGGTGGTATGGCTCAAAATCGTTCTCAATGGCTGACTGGCGCAGGTGCATCCACTCCTTGTGACTTACAATACTCAATGAAACTATATTGTTCTTCGTTATTACTATTCCATTGTCTCACACCTCTGTTTACTGTCTCTATTATGCATTTCTTCTACTTTCTTCTCTTGCTTTGTGTGCTACATGGAGAGAGTGTGGCGACTTGAACTGCTGCACATCGGTGCAAAGTTCTATGTAGAAAAAAGTCGGCCAGTCAATTAATGGCACAACTTGTCACATAATTTTCACAAACACCCTAAAATCAGTTTATATACATGTATATAATCTGAAGGGTTGAATAAGACACTAAAAAGCATATTTTATTGATTTATCCAAATATGAATATATGTATCTTTCCTTTGTAATTCTTACAGCAGTACTTTTGAGTACTTGACCAACCAGAAACAATTACCTTCAATAAATAAAACACACAATTTGAAATGAAATCATTACAACTGAGTACAAAAACATGTTAAAGATAATCAAAACAAAACGGAGAATTCATATGACCATATATTCTACAAACGCGTACGACAGATGTCAACATCACAATTAATTATTCTCTACCCACAAATTCATTTAATTTTCTACTAACGGTAACAACCATAGATGAAGAGCATATTATTACACAAATATAGTCTACGCTAACAATAATTGTAGCAGAAAAAACAGAAAAGACCTACCAATACATCATCAGTAGCTATCCGTGATAATGCCAAGTATTCTGTAGCTCGTTGTTGTATTTCTACATTTGAACTACGCAAATTACTATCATTCTGTAGGACAGATTGTATATCAGATTTGATTTCAGGGAACAAATTGATAAATTTCATATAAGTGGATAACAATAGTTGACGTGTAGTTGGAGTACAAAGATGAAATTTACTGTGCAATAAATTGAATTGCACTTTGGGTCTAATCCAAAAAAAGTCAATGAGATGTGCAGGCGATTCGAAAGAAAAAACATTTTAAAAAAAGTAGAAAGTTACAACAATGTTTCAGATAACAAGAAAATGAAATCTTAACTAATACATACATTCAGAATAGAACATATAGTTGCAGTTCACGGTTTCTCTTTTTTGTTAGGATTGTCTTTAGGTTTTAAAACATTATCAAAATGACAATACTTTCTTCGAAAAACAATCATCCACGAGACACTGCATTGAGCCATATCCATAGGGTAAATAACAAGACCATAGCAAATGCAATACAGTTTGAAAAGCTAGTTATCGGACACCGATATCCTATAACCTCAATGCAAAAATTCTGCAAAACGTAACATGAATGTAAGACAAAAATGTGAATACACTTATTATTATTATCTCAGCCGAGTGCTGATGATGATAAGTCTACGAGGAATTTCTGTTATACTTAATGGTTAAGAAAAATACACAACACAGCAATAAAGACTGATTTTTCTATGTAAAATGAACCACAACTACGAGACTAGCCTGTGAACGTAAAGGAGAAGCCTTATTACACAAATATATATTTTTCCATACACATGAAATTAGGCTACTTCACTGGTGTAGTAAATTAATCCAGCGACGATTATCCAATAAAATCATTATGTTCACGTAACAACACAAATATACATTCCAAACAAAGTTCTAGGCCTCTACAGCCAGTGGCTTAAAATACTGACTCCGATTTAGACGCTTACTATCATGTTCAGTTAAATGATAATAATAATAATAATAATAATAATAATAATAATAATAATAATAATAATAAGTAAAATCAGAGACTAAAAGTCAATAATAATGTGCGCACTCATGTAGTAGGTCTGTCTGTCTGTCTATTTTCGACATAGAACTTTGCACATATGTGCAGCAGTTCAAGTCGCCACACTCCGTGTAGCACACAAACCAAGAGAAGAAAGTAGGAGAAATGCAGATAAGAGACAGTAAACAGAGGTGTGAGACAAAGGAATAGTAATAACGAAGAAAAATATAGTTTCCTTGGAGATCATAGGTCACAAGAGAACGATTTTGAGCCATGTCACCAATTGTTTCCAACCATTGATTTTTACCGTCTCGAGGACCCCAGCCTGGTGGAAGTCTACACCTTCCTACGTGGCTTAGACCAACTGTTGTGGATTTGATTGACTGGTGCCAAGTTTTTGTTTGACCGCCGCTAGCTTTTTTCCAGCCTGACCCTATATCCGCTAACATTGCTCGTCGAGAGAGGCGATGGCTTGGCATACATAACACATGTCCTAACCATCTCAGTCTTTGTAACTTCACGACTTCGTCGATTGATTTCCCCTGTTTACCTAGAACTCGACGCCTAACTTCAATGTTGCTCACCTTATTATGAGACTTTACACGGGAAATAGAGCGCAGGCACCTATGATCAAAGACAGCTAGCCAGGCTTTTCATGTCTTCCACTCTGAGTGGTCAGGTCTCACAACCATAAAGGAGGACGGAGCGGACTGATGAGCAGTACACCCGCCCTTTGGTCGATAGTCGAACATCTCGTCTACGCCAGAGTCGGCGTAAACTGGCGTAGTAGGTGTTGCATGAAAAGTGGTAACAAAGAAGAGACGAAAGATAATTTTCTAAACTAAGTAGACACTGGCACATAGAGAGGGAAAATCTACAGAAGACAGACTATTTTCACAAATACTCATATATGTAAGGTTTAGATATGAATCGGTAATACATAATATCCAAATAAGGAACTCATTAAAATCTCCCAATCACTATTAACGAATGTACCGTGATTCATTCCAATACGGCAACTTGAAACCGCAGACACTCAGTTTTACGCATAAATGAACTTATTAAAAGTATTCAAGAGTTAGTTTGTTGGGATTTGACTCGTGTCATGTTTGATCACTGGTTGATATCACCTAGAGAGAATCACTGAAAGCCAGGGAGCATTTGTTTCGAAAAATGAAAGATACAAAATAATTCATTTCAGGACTTACGCTGATCTCGGGTCACCAGCAATAAGATTACCGAATTCACCCAAAATATAACCTCCCACTTTCACCATATTTTCATGACAAGCAGGAGCTTGTAGAGCCTACAAGACAACAAAAGTAATATAAAAAAAACTACGCCAGTCACTATTGTAGTTATTCAATAAAAGTACCAAAGTCGTAAACACAGCAATTTAGGAAATGCTGACGGTGTGGAAAGTGAAGAAACAACACAGCTTTCTTTGTCTGGTCTTATTGCTGGTGCAAAATAAAAATATGGGAGAATCCCCAACTGCTTTAAATCTACGTTGGATATCTTTGGACCCACAGAATTTTATGGTCTCAAAAACCCCGACTCATAGCTGACTTACAAAATATAACTGGGGCTATCTCAATAAAATCTTACGCTAACTGATTCTCAGTGACCTTTATCGACGATGAATCAGTTTTGATTGATATTTGAGTGCAACAATATATTTTATCTATTCTTTTATTTTGATTACAGCTTGATGTCACACTGTATTTTCGGCACAAGTATGGAATTTTCAGCATGTGATATCGGTAGCCCAAATTTTGCAGGCCGACTATAGATATCGGGTGTGCGTCGGCAGGGGATCGAACCCCGGGGCATGTGCATGGTCTGCGAGAGTCCTAACCACTGTGCCACCGACGAATGCAATCAATATATTTTGTGGGTGTAAAAAACCTTGTACTTGTCTAATTGAAAAAACTTAGGTATCAATACAACAACATGGGTTTTCACCTGCAAGCTTCTAGCATTGTTATGCATCAACAGTCTACCCCAAAAGATGAAAAAGATGAATTTAGGCATGAAATTCATTTGCATATAATTTGACATTCACCTAACACTTACCTCAAATACTGTTTTCGCTGCATATCCTTGAACATCTTCACGATTTATAACAATCTGGATAACACGATGCCAAACCTCATCACTCACATAGTCGCCAGCAACTCTTATTAAATTCAATATAGTATCCACATACCATGAATAATCAGTAGCATATTTCTCAGCTAATATAGCGACCTTAAGTACCATTTCTTCACGGATTGCATAGTCTGCCACTTCCAAGTAACTGAGCATCTCACCTACGATAGCCTGTGCATTCGTTCTATCACACATAGCGTACAAAAGATCAACAGCTCTTTGACGAACTGAAACATCTCGTTCACTCTAAACAGTTTAAAAGCAAAAGTAGTTAAGCGGTTAAACTGATTAACAAGGAAGAAATTAATCGACCACTTAGAACAAATTATAAATATCAAACTTATTAAAAGAGAACTTCCCAAATGAAAACTTCTCATAATTGAAAGGAAGCAATTGTGGTTTCAAACAACCATGCATAACAATTAGTATACACCGTAAGCAGAAAAATAAGTTTTGGTTCATGTTACATTCTTAGGTTTAAAGAAAATAAGGTGTTATGTGAAAACACGTTATTAAATCCCTTGGTATTTGCATGCAAAACGTGTTCAATGAAATGAATGGTTAGGAGAAAAGGAATGTTGTGAGTGAAGTTTTTTTTCCTTTTCATTGTCGATAGCTTTAATGAGTAGGTTGTTAGACTTTAACGGTATTCATGACATATAACTGAGTCGTATATTAGTCACTGTTTTGGTTCTATCTTAGAAACTAATTACCCCTTGTTTCTTCCACTATGCACTGGAACTAATATAAAGTATTTTCTATAGTTTGGTTTATAAGGATTAGTTATGTTTTTACGAGTTGATCATGGATTGATATCAGTTAGGGAACCATTGAAAACCAGGGAGTACTGGACAGCTGCTATTTCATCCTGGTTTGGGAATAATCTAGAATCATCCCAGTGGGTACGTACTGCCGATGATTCTCAAACTAGGATGAAACAGTAGCTGTTCAGTACTCCCTGGTTTTCAATGGTTCCCTAACTGAAATCAATCCGTGACCAACTCGTAGAAACATAATATAAAGTAACTAGTATGAAAGATTGCAAGATGAATAAACCACTTTCTACAATCTACGGATTAGTTAAACGAGTTTGAACTTTTTTGTGGTTATATACGTACAAAATCTGTAGTATGCAAAAGTAAACTTAACGCAATATCAATGTAGTTTTATTCAATTTGAGATTTTCCCGTCGACTGATCGAACCGAAGTGCTCGGTCTCAGGTTGACATGTCGGCTTCTTGTGCAGATGCTTTGACGATGTCTGGGCGTTTAGTTAGCATTCAAGTGTTGGTTTGTAGGGATTTGATTGGTTTCAGGATTTCATCATGAGCTGACATTAGTAAGAGAACCAGTGGAAAACCTGGGAGTACTGGACAGCTGTTTCATCCTAATTTGGGACTCTTCATCAGTACGCATCCATCTCCCGGGTTCGAACCTACGACCTTCTGGTTACAAGGCGAGCTCGTTTACCATTAAGCCACTGGGACCCGATCCAATGGTCCTTGAATTCTGACTTCTGCCAATTCACGACATAACGCGACCGCTAGCCAATGTCTTCGGCGAGTATTTGTCCTCACACCCGACCCGCTGCACCCTACTAGTCACGACTTTGGTTAGTATTTAATTGGTGGATGGTGACTAGCAGTGGAATCCAGGATGCGCATTTCGTCCTATTTGGGTCCGAGCCTAGGTTGGAACATAATCACTCACTGAGAAATGCAAGTACATCCAGACGACGAGTCCCAGATAGGACGAAATGCGCATCCTGGATTTCACTGCTAGTCACCATCCACCAATTAAATACTAATCAACGTAGTTTATTTATTTAATAATTTATGACAGCAAGACAATACTTGTTGTTAAAAATGGATAATTTCTAAACGCAATATCAAATTAACCAATGCATGGTGCTAAAGCATATTTCATTTTTTCATTGTATGCCTCTTGACGATATGCGCAAAACTCGAAAACAAAAAACACAAAACTTACTTTGAGAGCGTTAACAATTGTTTCCTGGTGTTTTTTAACCGCTTCGTGACTGAATTCACTCGTAGCTAACAAGCATAAAGATTCCAAAGCCAAGTAACGTAGATTTGTTTCCTTATGTTGTAAGAACTGTCCTAATTGATTACAAGCGCGGACAAGTAATTTTGGATCACTATCCATGTGGATAATCAGATTAATTGCTTCAAACAGAACAGCATTTTTAGCATTGGGATGTTGTACTTTCTTTGACTTTGGAGCTTCTTGAACTTTCTTCAAAATTGTATCTAGGCATTCTGCTAGCCTAGCGCGGACAGTATTGTCTTCTAATAAAACAAAATATATTCGGAAGTTCTTATGTAAGTATTTACGGTAAAGTAGGAGAGTATCAGATGAGGGAAAAAGAGCAAGACTCTATATCATACCTGGAGGAGGATAATTCTGTAGCAAGCGTAGTAATTTTACCGACAGCCAAGGAGCCGTGACAAAGTAATACGTATAATCCTGTAGATCGGTATATGAAGACGTGATCAACTAAAACAAATAATGAAAAAGAAACAGCATTACTTGCGTCTTAATTCACAAAAGGAGACGGTAATAAAAGATAAAAATATAGAATTTTTTCTGTCAAATATATTTACACCACATAGGTTTGTAATGTTGTGCCAGAATGGAAAGGATTACAAGTAATTTCGAAGGCCTACGTTCAAGTGACAATTCGTACACAATTAAAGTGGTGTTAAAAATGAAATGCTGTACATACTTGGTGACGACTTAAAATCGAATACCATGACAACGTAATTGCCATCCCCCTATCATCTGAGAAATTGTAAGCTCTACAGATTTCAGACGAATTACTGTCGCTCCTATCACACACGTATTTCTCCACTGCAAAGTTAGTCTGTTTCCGTTCTCTACTTTTAATGTACTGATTTGACATGCAGTACCTCACACTTGTGTAGTTCGGAAGAAGGTTTAGCAGTAGTCTCTGTCAAATAATAAACTGTTAGCTGTAAAAATACTATGCACATATGTAACAAAGAATCAATCAAGTCTGATTAGTCTGCAATCTGAGGAAGCTAAGTAGATGACAACAACTGCTACCTTGCCGTGGTGGTCGGGCTTGAATACCGCAATGATCCAACATGCTAAACTGACTGGGAATCATGTCCCTGCAGGTCCTACCATGTCTGGAAGGTTGTTTGGATAGCGCTTAGATTAAAAGCAGTTACCATGGGGTACATGGGCTCCAGCATCCAATCGGATCATATGGCGTGTGAATCCATATGGGTCACCGGCAACCATGGGAATGCAGCTCCTGACGCTGCTTCGCTGCCTTATGGATTAGACTTCAAGTCAAAGGCTCAAGGGTGGTTCCTTAATAAAACCACCTGCTTCGGTCTGGGCGCCCGGGCAGTATCTCAGCCCTCACACAACGAATGAAATAAAGCAACAAATTCTCATCGAAACTCATCGCGCGCTATTAACAATGATTTTAAGTAATAAGATGACACTTGTACTGATCAATACTATGAGTTCTAAGTAAACAAGTAAACATGTAAAACAAAAACATTTATCGAGGTCGAAGTCGTTATATAATTATCAAGCAAAATACAAGTCTTACCCTGCTAAGCCGTGAAACAGCGAGTGATACACATCCTTTGTGTTCTTCAGGGCTCCTTTTTACCAAAGCATCAATTAGACTAACAGCTGATGTAACAACCCCCTAGTTAAAGTAAATTGATATACCATGTTGAAATATTTGAACTAAATTAACGAAACTTCAACACAAATAATTACGACAATATAAGACAGAAAAAGTATCTCAAGAAAGTGCTAGTGACAAAGCTATACCATTATTTAAACCTGAGTATTACAACATACAGGCTTGACTTTGCAACTAATCATAATCACTACCGAAGAAGAGATATCATGACTACAGGTTAGTGAGCATAGATATCTCTATCCATTCGCTTCCACTAGATGAAGAAACATTGTGGTACTGAGATTCCGTAGTGTTAAATCAAGAACGTTTTGAAGCTTCAACGGTTGAAATGGCCAAGATATCTACTAAATTAGTATCTTCGTTGATAAGCATTGTCAGCTTTAGTAGGATAACGTTGGAAAGGAGTTATGTCCATCTGTTTTCGACATAGAACTTTGCATCGATGTGCAGCAGTTCAAGTCGCCACACTCTCTCCATGTAGCACACAAAGCAAGAGAAGAAAGTAGAAGAAATGTCAAATAGAGACAGTAAACAGGGATATGAAACAAAAGGAATAGTAATAACGAAGAACAATATAGTTTCATTGAGTATTATAAGTCACAAGGAGTGGATGCACCTGCACCAGTCAGCCATTGAGAACGATTTTGAGCCATACCACCAATCGTCTCCAGCCGCTATTGGCTTTTACCGTCCCGAAGACCCCAACCAGGAAGTCTACACCTTCCTACGTGGCTTGAACAAACTGTTTCATTGACTGGTGTCATGTTTTGGTTTGACCGCCGCTAACTCTTTTCCAGCCTGACCCTATGTCAGCTAACATTTCCCATTGTCGAAGAAGGCGATGACTAGGCATACCTAACACATGTCCTAACCATCTAAGCCGATATAATTTCACAACCTCGTCCACTGATTTCCCCTTCTTACCTAGAACTCGACACCTAACCTCAATATCGCTCACCTTATTATATCACTTCACACGGTAGATAAAGCGCAGGCACCTATGATCAAAGACAACTAACAAGGCTTTTCATGTCTTCCACTCTCAATGGCCATGTCACACAGCCATAAAGGATGACAGAGCGGACTGATGAGCAGTACATCCACCCTTTGGTCGATAGCCGGATATCACTTCTACGCCAGAGACGGTGTAAACTGGCATATGAGAAACTAGCCCTGTGTATCCGTGCTGAGATTTCGTAGGAGATCAACCCGTTGGCGTTGGCTGATGGTACTTCCCAAATAAGTGAAGCTGTCAACGTGCTCTACCACTTCACTCCCTATTTGTAAACTAGGAGTAAGCGTAGTCCAGTCCTGTAACATCATGTTGCATTTGGCGGGAGCGAATCGCATGCCAAACATTCGTGGATTGCAGCTCAAGGTGTTCAGAAGACTCTGCATTTTGACAGCGTCCTCGCCTAGAAGGACTATATCGTCTGCGTATTCTAAGTCAACGAGATTATTCCCTAACGGTAAGAAGTCAACCCCTGAGTCTCTGAAGTGAGTTAGGGTTAAGTACGTCAGTACACCTTTGGTGAAATTGAATAGAAATGGGGATAATGGGCATCCTTGACGGACACCACTAGTTGTCACCACTTCAGACGACAACTCGCCGTAAGCGCTCACCTGGCTGCATGAGTTCGAGTAGAGTGCCTTGATCAATGCAATGTATTTTCTCGGCATCCCCTTTACGGCCAAGCATCGCCAGAGTACCTCTTGGTCGACAGAATCGAATGCCGCCTTTAGATTAAGAAATATAATGACTGTTGGACGCCGGTAGGAATGTCTACGTTCTAGAATCTGCCTAAGGGTGAAGATATGATCAATGCACCCTCTTCCTGGTTTACAGGAGATATGGAAAACTAGACCAAATTGTGATCTCAACAGATAAAGTAATTGGCTGTTTGTATGAACAACCTAGATAAGCATAATCTGTCTGATTGTAGTCCACGAGGCCCTACAAATTGGTGGCTGGTGAACTTCTGTAAAAGAGCTCAAGTGTTACGAACACAGTTTCTTTACAGACGCCATCAGGGTGTCAATTGAATGAAAACTAAAGCATGAAATAATATCCAACAGCCAATAAGATTTGTATGCAGTTGGTAAGTCACATTTGTTGTAACAACTAAAGATACTGCAATGCTGCTAAAACCCTGGTGGGTGCAGAGGGGGTCAGTTAAAATCCACGACCAAGTGACTGAAAGAGATAAGTTTAGGGCAGTTATACTGGGAATAAAGGAAATGGTTTGTGAGAAACACAAACGTTTGCAAGAGTAAAAAGAAGAGAAATGCAACTGTGAAGTAGCTGCCAAATACTAGACATACTGATTGTGATTGCAACCATGATTCAAACCCCATAAATGCAGGTGGAGTGCGACACGTAACTACTGGAAATTGTATTCATAAACAGCAAGCTTCGCAGTTGGTAGGTCACAAAGGAGTTTATGTTCAGTAAAATGCGATAACATATGCTTATCTACTATTGTCTGTTAGAGAGTAACGACAGATTTTCAATTTATCTTCACTATTTTTCAATATTCTCTTTTCTCGGTCTAACTTTACAGGTGTGAGGTGGGCACAATAACGTTAAATTCCACCTGAATGGAGACTAATGCCGACTTATTTTCCGGATAATTTGCACAAGATTTAAAATTGACTAGAAACTTGAAAAATTTCAAAAATCCGTTGATTTATGAAGATATGAATAAAATCAATATTGAAATAAGCACACAGTAGTTCAGTACAGAAAGATATGTTTGGTTGATGAGCTTCACCTGCCTAGTGGGGTTTCTGCTCTAACAAAAAACTTTCAAACTTAAGAAAAATGTAGTGAGAAAATACTGGAAAAATCATGGCGTAATTTAACCAACTAGTTTTACGAAAATCACAGGATCATCAAAAGGCACACAAATATGGCATTCAATCAACCTACAGTGCAGTCATTATATTCAATAAGTAGCCGTTTGTAACTAGTCCTTTGACAAATTATTACGTACTATTAGGACTAAATATCTGAAACAAGTAACATACAAATCCTAGAGAAAAAAGGTTGCAAATGCTCCCAGGAATTCCCTATGTAAAACGACCACTTTCGAAGGCTATAAATATTGATATTTACCGAAGCACCAAAATAATCAAAAGTAGCATACTTACCAAATGTTGATCATTAAGAAGATGCATAGCTCTAACAGTCCAGTCATCATACGTAACAAGTTCAGGTGCAACTCTAATCAACTTCAATAAACACAGAGCAGCATTCTGTTTAATTGAATCAATCGTATCGCTACAAGTAATAGACAGAAACTATTGACATACCCAGACACAAGTAATTTGGGGATTTTATCAGCAAAGTTTTCAGCCATCTCCCGACTACCAATATTAGCGATGCACTGTAAGGCAAGGTTCATGAATACAGGGTTCCGACTATTTAAGTCATCCTTCAGTCGTGATATAACGAGGTTCATAAGAGGGTGGGACTCATTAATAAGCACAGATATAAATAAATATCCCTGTAAGTAGAATTATAAGTATATAATCTTACTATTTGTTTTTCAGTGTACCTATTGGAACATAACAAATTAACAGCTTCGGTGTGACCGAAATCAATATCATGACCGAGAAGAAATATGAAAAGCAATTTGCAAACATATTTCTTCTTCTGATAACCGTCCAAGGTTTTATCACCTGCAAAGTGTAACAAGATTTCAACTTATTACCTCTGAATTTCGATCTTATATTAGCCAACTCTTTGTTAATGCGTCGGATTTCACTTTCTTTGCTTTTGCAGTTTCGGATGTCCGAAATGAATACTGCCAAGCCCCTCATCGCATCACCCTTAGTGCTCGGCATTTTTAGGTGAAAATAACGTAGTCAATTATGCCGCCAATAGATGCTATCCAAATGTCCCGTCATATGTTTGAGTAAACAAAAACAGCCTTACTATCCAAAATATTTCCGGAAGAAAGATAGGAAATCGATTAGTGCCTCTTTCTTATTCCCCACAGAAATCAAAATTTCGCTGTTTGTTGTTCAGTTAATTTAATTCACTGGTTTTGTATTTTGTGAAAAATTCACTTTTTCTCTCTTTATAGTTATCTTATCATGCCTAGGGTGAATCAATAGAAGGAAGTGAGATTATGTCCTCCAGCGGATTACTGCATGAAGCGGCATTTAGTTTCATTAAATGAGTATTTGGATGTAAACTTTTCCACTGTATTTATCTTGCCTTATTCGTTATATTTTCGTATATAGTTCGGCTCGCAATCAAATCTTAACATAACGCTAGGAACACTAACGTGCAGTCTTGTTTCCCCGGAACGAAATTTAAATGAACCAAGTTACCCAGCTTCCATTTTTAGGATGAACTGAAAATTCGTTTGTGTGATTTACTTCTTTGAATTGATTCCGGTTTGAAGAAGGGTTGCTGCTCCAATACACATTTCATATAGAGCTCTATGTACACAGCATAATGCATGAACTACATGTCAGATAATATCCTCAAGTATTTAAAGAGTTAAGGGATGCTCCATTAAAAAGCACCTGCACAAAATCCAAAACACTATATGTGCTCCTTCTTCCGCAGCCTTGATGGCACGGCTTACTATGGCTGTGAATCTTCTATTCTCTGGTGTTGCGTTACAGCAGAGACACCAGTCACAATCGTTATATGACAAGTACTTGGTAAATAATTCCCCTCGGTAAGAAACTATTATTCTGCAGTGTGCTAGCAGGAAAATCACAAATGACCCTTTCTAGAAGTTGAACTATAATGGCAGTGAGGCCGAATAAATGAAGCTCCCGGGAGAATTCTTAGGCTTGTCTTTGACAACCTTGCTTTTAGTTCAATTGATATTTAGTTCTTAATGGTCCCTGTGCCTACGAGAATCGAGCTTCGACCGCAATTTTAAGGTAGACTGTATTTCCATGTGTTCAAGTCTGTAGAACAGTGAGATGAGTATACTTTGTAGTTATTCAGTATGCAGGGACTTCACAGTCTGTCTATTGATCACAGCTGGGAGAAGAGTAACTGGATCAAAATCATTGCCAATGTTCTCATCACAAATAAATTCTGTGACTAACTTGAGGCCAGACCTTATTTTCTAGGTTCAGGAGTGCCAGGATTAAAATTCCACCTTAGTTAATTCACACAAAGCCTGTTGATTACGCGGAAGCATTTGTAGTTGTAGATTACCGAAGAACATTATTTATCACCTTGTTGTCGAGTGAAGTGAACAGACAATGTGTAATGTGGCCTTTCTTCTCACTGACAAAGTGAAAACCTATTAAAATTCGTCGCTTCCCGACTACACTTTAACACAAATGAGCACACGGTTGACAACTGGAACACCATTCCAACAGAGGATGCATACTGAAAAAGTAGAATTCAAATGCAAGTAAACTCTAATTTTCCTCACCACCACATGAAAAAACTTGCAAGCTTGCCGCAGAAAAGTGAAGCTCTAACTAGTTGGCACGCACCAATAAAAACTGGATGACAAGCTTTGATCTAGGCCAAGAACAGCTTTTTATTGCAGAGCCTACTTGTGGGGTACGTAGCAATATGATTGTACACTTTTTGTTAGTTGTAGAAATTAGAGACATTGTGCATAATTTTTGTTTAAAACGATTCTTGTTAAAATACATGTATCTTCCGTGTGCGACTGGAAATACACTTTGCTGTTGGGGACTTCGCCTTCTCTCTGGCCGCCACTGCTTACTTGCTTCACTCACACCGTGCTGTATACTTTGGATTTACTGTAGGAGTCTACTATCCTCATCCGAAGACAACTCTACGACCGGCACACAGCATCTACCAGCAGACGCAACTCCAACAGTGAACGCTTCCGTGGGTTATATAAATAATTTGCAGCAGAGGACTTAGACATCATATCCAAATAATCTTTTTATTGATATAACTCGTTACTGCATTTTTTGATAATATAGTGTTACTCAACATCTCATTGGCTTGGATTATTATTCGCATATTTGTAAGGTTAATGAGCTCTCCTAATAGTCCCCTACAAATTAATTGGTGAGCCCGCTTAGGACACGGATTATTTTGACATATTCATATTCTTAGTTTTGACATTTTGTATATTCATTGTGATTTTGTGTGTGGTCTTATATTTGTATCCCGTTTTGCACCAACATTCTCATATCTATGATGTCGTCACCCAAGCGTATTCTCTAATATGTTGAACTTGTGGTCGAAAACCGGTCATTCTTAAACAGAGTGAGATCGACCCTATATGCAGTAATAAATATCACACCTTCGCGATATATCACTATACAATTAATGTGGTACGTTCAAATTCGGCGTCATTTTTCACGTGTTTTCTCCGATAGTCACGTAGTGCATTCTATTTTATTATCACTGAAAATGATGGACCTAAACTCTAAAAAGCGTGATCTTAGGAACATCTGTAACTTAGAAAATAGCTTGAGCTCTTCTAGTAACGGATTACCGCCCCTTAAATCGGTTGTTGTTAGTAGTTAACCCAATATAAACGGTTTTAACATAATGCTAACCCTTGTGATATGATATCCTGTCATAAAAGGCAGAGATTTCTAACTTAATCTGCGTCATAAACGACATGCAGCTACAAATAAATGATTTCAGGGCGAAATTAGGTCTACTTGATCTCATACCAGAAACTATCTTGCATCTTTAAAGGTAACTGCGGGATCTCACTTTTCTAAAACGCTTCGATTTGAAGAGTGAACCAACTCATACTGACTCAGAAACGGATACACAATTGGAGAACGCTATGGACTTTTGTCGGTCGGAGTTGTTAAACGACTCGCAACTAAACAGACACCATGGTGTACAATATACCAGATAATGAAGACATAAAGTCTGCTCAACACTCCTTTGTTAAGGTCTGCAAACCTCTCAAGCACACACTATTAGTGTATTCGGTTAAATAAAAATGACCCAAACAGAGCGCGTCCCATACTTTTCAAATTTGACAGCTATTTAATGGCCGAGTAATTCAGGAAATCTGGGAATATTTTGGCCTCTTTTACAAAATTCAAGAATGTTAAAATAGTCTGGGACAAAACCCTTAACCAACGGCAAGCAGCTAAGAAAATCTGAGATACAAGCACTATTATACCACAAATCATGAATAATGTCAGTGACGAATTATCGAAGGACACTGAAGCCAAAATTGACACTCGCATAGTACTAGGTGAACAAACGACACGCAAAAGCGAAGTGAGACCTAAAACGATCATTAACATTGTTCTCAAAGTTCATGGCAGCACCTTTATGAAATTTGCCAACCCCATACACGAAGTAGACTCGGATGCTCCCACTATCGATAACCTGAAAATATCGACAGATCACAATCCACTCAGAGCCAATCAAGATAGTCTCACAGTAAAATCCGGAAAAAAGTTCCCAAAACTCTAGGTCTCTTCAGAAGCGTCCATAAACCTCCTCAGCGATAAGCCCGACAAACAGAATGTAAGCCTAGAAAAGAACCATGCACGCATTGCAGCAGGTCCCATGAAGGGGATATTACAAGTGGGTAAAAGTGCTCTTCTCCGAGATAAGGGTAACAGACAAGGTGTGGTTGACGGACCATGTGCGGTGAGAGCAAACAGCAAATATACACTGTCCAAAAGAGATCACGCGCTAGCAGACATGCACGGAGTGCCAAAGTGATTAAACAGCAGAGTGAGATCTATGGTTTCAGTAATAGCCGAGATGGTAATACTTCTGTAAGCAAACATAGCCAGAAAACGCGATTCAAAATGAATAATAAGAACATATGGGTGACTACAGAGGACGTCACTAAATGCCATATAAGCGGAAAATTATCCCCGAACTCTTTAAGTAGTTACGTAAAACCCAATCAACAAAATGGGTATAGACGGGCTCATGGTCTTTCTAGGCACACACACGAAATGAGTCAACAGATGTGCAACTACGAAAAACCTAGCATCCACAACCCCCAATATAATCTAAAAATAGGGTAATTAGGTCATGTAAATTACAATCTGAGTGGTGAAAAAGGTTATCCGATTCCGAAAAATGATCACAGATGCCCACGTAATGATGATAGAAAACAATATATGCAACAGGATTGTTTTCAACTGCAGCAAGCAATAGCCCCTATCGAAGCACAATTTGTTCAAAGAATACTAGACACACTGACACCGTCTCATCTTAGGATCCATCCAAACATAACACAGGCAACCAGGATTTAGGGATAGTAACGAGGAGACTTGCCAACTATCCTCCCAACAACCCTGGTTTTCTGAAAATTATGCCCTTAGATGTTCGGAGTCTCCTTGACATAACGACTTCACTTCTCAGCCTGGTACACATGGAACAGCCAACACTAATCCTGGTAACCGTAACCTGGCTAACCAATAATACACCTGACACAAAACTGATGATTGACAACTATGACATCTATATGAATGATAGCGTGGAGAAAAGAGGCGGCGTGTGTCTAATATAAGGCTCTAAATCCACTGACTCCAATACTTTTACAGACCTAATTATCGACAAACTCCTAGAATCTGTGTAGATAAGCATCCACACTGATGGGAACAAAATTCTCATGGGATGTGTGTGCAGAGCACCTAACAACCCTAAAACAACTGATACGGCTATCGGAGGAATACCAGAATACGTACCTAGGTTGAAATTCGACTACAAACTAGTTTGTGATGATTTCAACCTCCCCCGAGTGAACTAGGATATCTGCATTGGACCTAGAATCCACGACAAGCTCCTAGAAGCCATAGATGCAGGAGGATGGAAGCAGTGCATACGCATCCCGACACATAACAATATTCTCAACGTAATCCTCTGCCTTAGTATAGAGCTGACCTCGATATAGGTGGGGATAAACTCTACAACAGTGGTCACAACACACTGTACTGCACTCTATCTCTTCAACTAACAACCAAACACACACACCTAATTATTCACCGGTTTACAATCAATATAGGGACTATAGAAATGCCGACTGGGAA